GGCTTCGAGGCTCTGCGGCTTCGAGGCTCCGAGGGTTCGCTGCTTCGGCACTTCGCTGCTTCGGGGCTTCGCTGCTTCGGGGCTTCGAGGCTTCGAGGCTTCGCTGCTTGTTCGAGGCTTCGTTGCTTGTTCGAGGATTCGCCGCTTGTTCGAGGATTCGCTGCTTGTTCGAGGCCTCGCAGCTTGTTCGAGGCTTCGCTGCTTGTTTGAGGCTTCGCTGCTTGTTCGAGGCTTCGTTGCTTGTTCGAGGCTTCGCTGCTTCGAGGCTTCGCTGCCTCGAGGTTTCGCTGCTTCGAGGCTTCGCTGCTTCGAGGCTTCGCTGCTTCGAGGCTTCGCTGCTTCGAGGTTTCGCTGCTTCGAGGCTTCGCTGCTTCGAGGCTTCGCCGGCCGCTTCGAGGCTACGCCGCTTCGAGGCTTCGCCGCTTCGGGGCTTCGCCGCTTCGGGGCTTCGCTGCTTCGCTGCTTCGAGGGTTCGCTGCTTCGAGGGTTCGCTGCTTCGAGGGTTCGCTGCTTCGAGGCTTTGCTGCTTCGGGGCTTCGGGGCATCGAGGCTTCGCCGCTTGTTCGAGGCTTCGCCGCTTGTTCGAGGATTCGCTGCTTGTTCGAGGCTTCGCTGCTTGTTCGAGGCTTCGCTGCTTGTTCGAGGCTTCGCTGCTTCGAGGCTTCGCTGCTTCATCGAGGCTTCGCTGCTTCATCGAGGCTTCCCTGTTTCGAGGCTTCGCTGCTTCGGGGCTTCGCTGCTTCGAGGCTTCGCTGCTTCCTTCGAGGCTTCGCTGCTTCGAGGCTTCGCTGCTTCGGGGCTTCGCTGCTTCGGGGCTGCGCTGCTTCGGGGCTGCGCTGCATGCTTCGCGGCTTTGCTGCTTCGAGGCTTCGCCGCTTCGAAGCTTCGCTGCTTCGAGGTTTCGCTGCTTCGAGGCTTCGCTGCTTCGAGGCTTCGCGGCTTCGCCGCTTCCTTCGGCGTTTCGAGGCCTCATCGTTTCGAGGCTTCGCCGCTTAGAAGCTTGGGCACTTTGTCTGCATTTCGTTGTTGTTGTTTTTCGTTTCTATTCTTTGTTTTTGTTTTTTCTTTTCATTCTTTGTTTTCATTCTTTGTTTTCGTTTTTCGTTTCTATTCTTTGTTTTCGTTTTTCGTTTCCATCCTTTGTTTTCGTTTTTCGTTTCCATTCTTTGTTTCCATTCTTTGTTTTCGTTTTTCGTTTTCATTCTTTGTTTTTGTTTTTCGTTTCTATTGTTTGTTTTTATTGCGGGATACTATTAAATAATGGGTTTTCTGACTTATAACTAGTCATGGTAGAGATTTATCAATCGAAATCATTATGGCGCGTTAATTAGTTGTGAAGCGAACATCAAAATAAAAATATGAGTAGCAAGGCCGGAGCAGCGCAGGGCCAGCAGCCGCGCAAGGGCGCGACGCCGCGGACCGCCGCCGGTGGGGCTACGTCATCATCCAATAAGTCTCCGAAGCTCCAGCAGATGGTGCAAGCTGCAGGTACGGCAAAAGCGACTGCTGGTGCTCCCACCAGTATCAGTAAGGAAGATGTTGCTTTTCTCATCTTCATGATGCCTGATGTGGCAATGACTCCGTTCTTGCTCTTGTTTGGTCTTGTTATTTTCAAGACCAACACGGTTGATTCTTGATTTCTCTAGTAAGTAGCACCAAATAATTTATCGCAGGCCGCGGCACATCACGTGCCGCAGTTGCTGGCGCCGCCAAGCAAGAAGACTCCGGCGCAGGAGGGACCAACAGGAATACCAGTCCGCAGAAATCTAGGCAACAAGGGCAAGGCCCGGAACAACAAGACAATTCGTCGCGATCCCCAAACAAATCTTCCTTTACCACGGTGGTGAAACAGATGAACGCCGCGCGAGCCCTATCTCCCCGCCAGCGCCGCCCGGCCACTTCTCCCCTAACCTACAAGGAGCGGATCAAGCTGCATGTGGAGCGACGCAGGCAGCTGACATCAAATCCTGGGGAAGAATTGTTCCCGCCGGTGGGAGGAGGAGGTGGTGGTACTAGTACTTCAGGAGCTCCTGCGATGTCCTCCGGCGCAGCACACGAAGTGGACGCGTTTCAAGAGACGCCGGGCTTTGGCATGCAGCCCGGGTCGGCGGAAGGTACAAGAACCATGAAAATTTGCTACGTAGATGAGGTCCTGGGCTGTAGTTATAGTCAACAAGAAGGCCAGCACATAGCTCCTCACTACACTTTTTGCATTTGCACTTTGACATGGCAAAAATGCGATAAAAAACACTCTCGGACACCATCACCACCACGACACCAGATTCTCCAACCCAGAGCCAATCTGTGGCGACGCTGGACCCTTCCCCCGACGGTGCGCACCGGCAGCAGGTGTATCATCCATCCCGCAGCAACCACGGAATCCATCCAGACGACCCGATGCTACGAGATTACGCCGTGAGTGCTGTCGTCCCGGAGGAAAATGACCCGGGATTGCTTCTCCACGACATGGTTTCCCCGATCAAAAACGAGGGCAGGATGCTGATGGAGCCCTTCGCGCAGAATGTAGAGGAGGACTTTGCAGCCAACACAACGCATGGCATACAGCAGGAACAGCTCTCCATCGCACCGCCGGGAACCTCCGTTGCGCGGGCCATGAGCGGCACCAGCTACTACGATCAACAGCAGCGGTTTCGCGCGAACTCCGCGGATAGCGCCCTGCAGATGATGGCGGGAGGAGGACAACAGCAACACCAGCAGAACCTCCACCTACAGGAGCCCTCATTCCCAGCTCCTCCTGTCGTGAAAAAGAACGTGCTTGTCGTGGAGCTTCCTTTGGACCCCGAGACCACTAAAGCCTTCCCCTCGCAACACTGGCCTTCGGAAACGGAACAGGAACTGGAACAAAGGCTCTGCTGGGCGTTCGGAATGCGGTTTGATTTTTCCACCACGTCTTCCTCTACGGGGGAGAAAAATAAGTTGAAGATGAGGTTTGAAAACGAGGAAATTTCATCCCTGTTGAACCAGGTCCTGCCGAAGTTATCGCACCAGGAGAATCACCAGGACCACCGCAACATACTGCACGACATCGCGGACCAAGCTTTTTCGGATACGGAGCAACAGGAAAAGCAGCACCACCACGCGCTGTCCGAGCGGGTGCGGATCGAGTTCCTGGCCTACCGGAAGGCCCTGGATGAACAGGAGCGGTCGCTGCACATGCACCGCGCGCAACTGACCGAACAGGAACGGAAGCACCAGGCCGAGGTCGACGAATTGCAAACGGAAATCGCACGACTGCAAGCCGCGACCGAGACGCAGTGTGGCGAATTACAAGCGTCGTTGGACCGGGCCCAAGAGGAATTTGGGCTGGTCGAGAACGTCAGCGAAGAGCGAAAATTGCTGCTAGGGGAGGCGGAAACGAAGATTTTGCAGCTCGAAACTGCGAAGGGAGAGACGGATGTATATAAACACTTCTTTTTTCTCATGCTGGCCGCCATGCACTTGAACAATAATCTGTATCTTTTTGATGAGAATTCACTGCCAGACTGGCAGTGAGTGACAGTCGCTCCATACTAGTACCCAGCTATCATTCATCTATCCAGATCAACAAAGACTGAAGATCCCGCACGTATCTTAAAAATGTAAGTTGTACATACTTTCATCTCATTTTCAGGCCCAACTTCAAATCTTCGAGCAGAAAGCGGAACAGCTGCAGACCGAGAAGGACAAACTAACCCTGGAGCGGACGGAGCTGCAGCACAAGCTCGAGGAGGTCGTTGCCTCTAACGAAAAAGAAAGAGACCAGGCAGAGAAGAAACGGGAGAGTCTGTTCCAGCAGAACACGCATCTGCAAGCGGAGTACGAAGTCTTGACGGCGAAACTGCTACAGGCGAAAGACGAAGCCAAAGTCGCACTGCAGGAGAAGGAGCAGCAACGCGAGGCGTTGACAACGGAAAAGGAACGGCAAGTGGATCAGCTGAAGCGGGAGAAGCACGTGAGGAACAGGACGAGATGAAATATAACAAATTCAAATGCATTTTTTCAAACCCTTTTTCCTCCCTGATAGGCTTCTTCACTAGTTCACTACCGTACTGGTGCAAGCGCAAAGCCAAGGAGTTGCGTGTTGTCACAGCTTCCTCCCGCTGGTTCACGGCGTGCATGGTCTATTTTTCTTGACCCCAAATAAATCCTAGGACCTCCTCGCCACTGAGCAGCGTCGGCTTCGGGAATCCGAGGCGCAAATGCAGCGTTTCTACGAGGAACAGGAGCAGGAATGGGTGCTCCTGTTGCAGCAGCGGGCCGACGACGTGAAGCGCAAGGAGGCCGACTGTGCGCGAAAAATCAAGGACGCGCACGAGAAGCGCCGCGAGGATGTGCTGCACGAGACAAACTCGCTGCAGGAACAGATTCGCAAGGAGAACAGCGAGCTGCGAACCAAGTGCGCGCGGATGGAAACCGCGAGTCGGAATGCGAAGCAGGAGGTGGAAAGCGTGAAGAAGCAGAACAACATGCTTTTACTCGACCGGCAGGACACGAGCGCGAAGTTGCAAAAGGCCCTGGAGACGAAGAGAAATCTGCAAGAGCAGGTGGAGGAATTGAAAACGGTTGTGCAGGAGCAAGCGGACGCTCTTGTTTCTAACCAGCCCCCTTTGATGGACAGTAGTGCGTCGAGTATGCTGATGAGTTCCTATTCCGCCCGCGGGGGAGGTGCAGGAGGACCCGCTACTTCCAGTTCCGCCGCGGGTGTACAACAGCGGTCTGTGCGGAGCGGGAGCGCCTCCGCGCGGGCCGCCTGGGGTGCCGGGCCCGGAGCTGCTACTGTGAACAACGCCACTCCGGGGCGGAGGAGACCACCGAACAATTTGTCCGCGAGTAGTACTAGCAACCGATACACCCCAAGACGCGAAAGAAATAACCCGGCGTCGTCGTCCACAGCACAAAGCATCCATCAAAAGCCGCCACCGCTGTTGAATAAGACTGCGACAAGGGCCGCATCGCCACCGCCCGCGAACTACGGGGGAAGTAACTTAAACAATAGCTCATCGAAGGAAAGCATTATGACCGCTGACAATGCACATCAGGGGGAACATCAACACCAACAACCCTTAAGTTACAGAACTCAATCCTCGGTTCCCGACGAGCATGATGAAATTGTGCATCCTGGCGTGGCAATGTCGAATCAGGGCGGATCTGTAGGACCACCAGCAGGAAAACCTCAAACACAAACGCAGGCGCTGATCAAAGCTCGGCCCGCGGGGCTAACAAGCTCGCTGTCGTCCCTTTCCGCAAGCAGCAGAAACCCGTCTCCAGCAGCTGCCATGTCGGGCGCCGCCTCTGGTGCTCATCCAGCGTTCCATCCGGGTGGTGGAGGTTCCGAAAACACAACACCGACACAGGCTGCCCAATCTGGAGGAGGTGCAACTACGGGAATAACTTTTGCCTCTTCAAAACAGCTCGCCCGGTCGGGGAGTGCAAGTAGCGCAGGTCTTTTCGGCGGTCCAGTTGCAACAAGCCCGGCGAGTTCATTCAAGCACCTCTCAACCACGTTCAATCCAGGTCTACGCGCACCCTCTCCACGGGCTGGTGCGCAGCAGCAGCAGCTTGTTTCAGGACCGATGACAGCACATAGTTCCGGCGGAGGGCGCCCGCCGTTAATGAGTGCTAACATGCAGATGCAACAGCAGGCGTCGAACAGCAGCTCATGTGTGAGCCCAACAGCGGCGGCTCACCAGCATCAAGGCGGTGGAGGTCAACAACACATGCAAATGAGCAGCAGCCTCCGATCGCTTTCTGGCTCACGCAACATGCTGCAGACCGCACCCTTTCAAACTCGGCTTGGCGGAACGAATAATTTGAATTATCCGCTGAACAATTTGTCCAGCAGTAGAGTGGGGGGCGTCGGAGGTACAACAGCAACTGCAGCTGCAGCAAATCATCCAAGTGCAAATCAGTATCAGGGTCAGGTTCCTGGTGGTACAGGAACAATTGTTCAAAATTTCACACCGCGCGGAGGGAACATAGCTCAACATTTCCAACATAAGCAAAACCTCTCCGCCACCAGCAACACAAATGGGTCCTCGTTTCGCTCACCGATGGAAGGAATCATGTCGACCGGAAATAATAACCTTCTGACGGGGAGCCAGCCGCAACTCTTGAACTTGGACGTTTCGAACATCAATACACCAAATCTGGAGAATTCCTTCCACAGCGTCGGCACACCGGGGCTGCTTGGAACCGCTGGAAGCAACAGTTTGCAGATGACGCGGAATCTGTACGCCTCGGCGCAGCAGAGTCCGGTGAATGCAGCAACGGGAGCGGCAGTAGGTGGCCCACCACCTCTTGCGGAGAACAATGATCAGGAGGCGAAGCTCGCGGCGATGATGGCAGACCGAGCGCGGATGGAGGCTATGGTAGAACGGAAAAAGCAGGAGCTGGCAGAGAAAAAACGACTGGCGTTACTAGCACAGCAACAGGCCGGCGCAGCAGCGCAAGGGTCATAAGTAGTACCTCCAGAGTGCGCTCCTGCAGCTCCTCTGCAGATTCAGCTCCTGAGCAGCACTTACTTTTTTGGTCGTGTTTCATATGATTTACGCTTATTTTCCAGAAGACGAGAAAACTTAAATTCTACGACGAACAGTACCTGTATCCATGTCAAAATAAAAAACACAACTCAGTGTCAGTCAGATGAGAAAAAAAAGCTCTGGGCTCTACGAATCAATTTAAGACTTTTTCATAGCGAGAAACATTGATATGCACTTGTACGATAAAACGATCACACAAAGGAAAGATGAACTTGAACTTGCAGTCATGTACTAAATCCAGCACATTGAAGACCATGACACGACTTGGCAACACCGCTCCTGCGCAACCTCATGCTTGAGTGGCGTTGAGCTCGACGAGGACACCTTGATTCGTAACACAGCGAAATATGTAAATCTAAATGTATCACTCGAGAAAATTTAGCACCACCAAAGTGGCAACATGTTGTTGACACGACGACTTCTGACATCTTCAAGTCCATGCACTTACGACTGACGATGTAAGTGACCAAGTTGCAGATGCAATGGCTAAAAATATTGGTTGACTCAGAAATTCAACTTGTTGGCTCCGCGAAGCGCAATGCCGAAGATCAAGATCCAATATCTCATGCTCAAATAGATTTCGCTCTTCGGTAGTACTCACATAAAACTACTGGAAGATGTCTGTACATTCATGTGACAAGAAGAAAGCGTCGCTGACGTCGCAAAGAAGCAAAAGATAAAAGTCCCATCCTGGCTCCGTCTTTGAGACAAAAAATTGCGATCATATTTTCTTCTATATCTATTTTTGCCGGAGTATTATAGCTCTAGCGTTCGATGAGGATGCAAGACATGAAGCGTCATCAAGCGAAAGCGTGAGAAAGATCCACAAGCACAAAAATTGAAATTTTAGAAGGAAAGAAGATCATGAAAAATTTTGAAAAGACCTGCGGGCTTCATTGATCACAAATGGAATAAAACCCTGGAAAGCACAAAAAGGGGTAGTAGAGCAGCAGCAATTTCAACGTCTACTTCATCGGTCAAAAATAAATTGCATGATGAGTAGATCCCCATTTTTGAGAAGTAGCGCTACCGAAAGTAGATCGCGGTGAAAGGTAAATCAATGAAAAAAATAATCGAAACAGTTCCTGTTCCATTGGTTTTGTAGAAATCTTCGTATTTACCCAAAAAATCGATGACATGAACATGGTATTTTGAGCAAAGTGCGCCTACTTTCTAGAAGATCTAGTCGAAACAAAGAAAGAACGATCGATCGTGTTGTAGGAGGTGGATCATCAGCGAGAATGTTTTTTTTTATCACATAAAATAAATACACACCATCATTGACCTTTGACCACTTCAATATCAACTTCAAAACAAAACCACAGCCGAGCAGTCAGAATCTGTACCCTAGAACAAGCGGCCGCACTACAAGGTCGCCAAAAAGACGATATAGGAAGAGGTAGACAAAAGACTCTCGCGTTACTTATCATCTTCGCCTCTGGATAGAGCTCGAGCAAGAATCTTCGATTGTGTGGTCTCATTTTAGTAAGGATCAGGAAAGACATAGTACAACAAATACAACAAGTAGTTTTGTTCCATGTGTGAATAGTACAGAAGAAATAACATCACCGAAAAAGTATCGATATTGAACTCTATTTGTTGAGCAGCTCACTCCTAGTTTTTTACACAAACGGCATACTCTACTACTTCGCCCAGTATTGCTTATCACATTTTTGGTCGGTTGTATCTTTTGCGAACAGAACGAAAATAATACGGAAGCAAGAGTCTCCTAAGTTTTTGGCTTCGTTGAATTTTGTCTCCATTTTTTTCTAGTTCAAGAGAGTGCCGATCGTAAATTTGTGTTATAGAAGCTGCCACATATCGGTCTGTTTTCAGGGAGTGTAGCAGCTTATAGTAGTGTTTAAATTCAAGACTTTTTGAACCTGTAGTCACACTTTCTTCGACGCTACTATTCTAAAAATTGGTATACGTATATAATCATCGTTTTATTGGCTCATCGAATTTACTCGCCGAAAGGTCGTGGATAAACAGCAAAATCGCTTAATCTGGCGGCCCAACAAGACGGACTCAAGTACCAGAAGATATTTCTGTAAAAAATCCATCTTCCTTTTGGCTCTACAAGTATTTTCAGGCGAAAAATTGACAACTACACCTTTGACGACTGTTGAGAAGAGAAGACAGTATTTTTTACTTCGACTGACATTGATTTTTCCCGTCGACAAACTACTCACGACATCGAGTACCTCCATATTGGCATACTAGTCCACAAAGACGAAAATCAACGCCCGCGCGCATATTAGTCCAAGCGAAAGTACCTGAAAGGAGTATAGAAATTTCTGCTGCTCATAGAACAACACTAGTTTACCTTTTAGCTTTTTTTATAGATTTCTTTACGTGCGCGGCGATACGTGTCCCGCTTTGTTGATCTTTTTCTACGCATAGAAGTTTTTTTTTCTTTTGACAGAGGTCGTCTACTTTTTTAAGTGTTCTACTTTTGATTACACCGCAAAATCTCCATTTTTGACAAAGCTGACTGTCGGCTTTCTCCTGCGCGATCGCAGCTTCTGTCCTCCATACAGAATCTACTACCAAAAGCAGAATACCTACCACCTTGTACAATCTTCGTTAGCCCAAGAATTTACCAAGCGGACGAGCAAAAGAAGTGTAAGTAGTTCTTCCATCTATCCTCCTGGAGTTCCTCTTTATTTCAACATCTCGCCCGTTTTTTTATCTTGCTTGAAATTGTTTAAGAATTAGAAAATTACACGATACATATTACGCCAGATTTTTAAGTAATACTGTCCGTGACAACTACTACTCGCTTAGAAGTCTTGTGTACAACTACGTGGTAAAAAAACTCATCTTGTTCACTTGCTGCACATCGGATTTGTTGTTTGGCCAAAAGAGTCGCAACAACATAGTCGACTGTGTTTCATCAAGAACTACAAACCGCAAGTTGATACAACTATTTCGAAGATTACACAAAAAGACAAAATACACCATTGCTGCACAAAGCACTTTGATTTTTTTAAAACAGAAATTAGAAACCACCACCAAAATAACCTACAGAGGCTTAGTCTTCTTCAACAGCCACGGTTAGTAGATCAACCTCGAACGCGGAATACGCAAAAATCTAGAACTCAACACAGGTTGTATTGCTAACATTCGTGTGGGACGACAAGCCGACATCGTTCCGATGCGAAAGCCTTTGATGTGCAGGTGCAGCTAATCAACAAAAAAAACGAGTCAAGCGGACTTTATTTCTTTACGGAACCATTCTAGTTCTTTGCTCTTCATCTTATTTTTCGCATTTATTGGTACCCAAAGCACACTACACTTGATACCTCGTTGTAAAAGTTTTACACTTAGAACTACCTCGAGTATTGATTATTTTTTCAAAACTTTTTGCTGTGCAATTGGCTATACTTCGCTGACCTCCCTCCCATCAGTTGTGGATTGAGATTATCGAAGGTAAGCGCGATAGGATATTCGTACGGCTTCTAAATTACCATCTTCTTCAAAGCTGCACATGGCTGTAGCATAAACTTGAAAGGATAGAACACATAACATCGAGGAACTACTACACGAAAAATCTTGAATTAAACACGTACACAAATACCATAACCAACGCGTGCATCTGCAGTATTTCGACATCCGCCTCACTCTGCACCTGCATCTCGAGATAAAAATTGACAAGAAGAAGAATATAAATCAAAACTACACGCCGGTTTATTGACAAAAATCATTGAAGCTAAAATCACAAATAGAAGAACCGCAATTGTACTTATCTCGACGTCTTCACGGTCAGTGGCGGTGCAAGAACATCGGCTTCATCAATTTCGTGTTGGACGACTCCGACCTGCTCGAATCGACCATGACGGGCACACAAACAACCGAGTATACCTTGCAGACGGGCTCCTGCGGTACGATTTTTTTTTAGCTTTTCTTGGCTTTGCATAAATCGAAATTGCCATTGCGCACGACACACTACAATTCATCTCATTTTCGTCTTTATCTCAGAAGATAGCTTTGGGTGAGGCAGGGGTCGTTTCTTTATTATGAGCGCAAGTTGCAGCAAAAATGATCATGAATGGCAAAAAAATCTTCGTAACCTAGTAAGCCATAGCTTCGCGGCCTTCGCGTCGCGGCCGCAAGGAACCATTTTCAAAAAAAAAACAGGCCAAGTCGAGGAGCTTCTGCCCATTGGCGAAGACGGGGATCTTCACGGTGAGACTCTCGATTTCCTGCCCGACCTGCCGAGCACGTTCAGCCGGCAGGCCTCAATCAAGTCAGTGGTGAATGACGGAAGCGCCAGTCCCGACGGAGGCACCAGGACGCCGCTATCGCTTTCGAAAATCTTCGACTTTGACACCACGTCGGCCTTCGGCAGCAGCAGCGCGAGCGCGTCCCCGGCCGCTTCGGGTCAGACCACCAAGTCCGAAGGTGGCGGGGATGGTGCAAATTGCACTGTTGGAGAGTTATCTGGGTCCCCGGCCTCCAGCTTGGAGCGCATGTCTTCGCAGAACAGGTCCTTTACTGGATTTGGCAATAAAACCTCCGGAGGAAACACAACTCAGGTTGTTGTGACCGAGGAAGCGGTCGCCACGCCCGCGAAAGCCACCTGGATTCCGGCGAAGGCGAATGGCGGGGGTAATGGGTCAAATTTCCAGAACAATAATCAGGATTTCTACTTGTCCTCCGCGACGGAGGTGATGGGAGACGAGAATAATTACCCCGAGCAAGATCTTCGCAATGAACCGAATAAATCCACTGCTGAAGAGGCTCTTGCGTCGTCGGCCGTAGAGGACAGCGCCCAGCACAACTGGTCGTCGACCGCGAAAAATAGTAAGGGAAATTATACCTACAACCAGAACGGGACAACTACTGGCACAACTTCGAAGAAGAAGAGCAAGAAGATGAGGGAGCTGAATTCATCTTACCAAGAAAACACAACCACGTCCTCCTGGTACAAAAAAGACCCCACGACGACGACGTCGGGTGCTGCGGGAGGTAAGCAAACGGATAAGGAGCTGCACAAAAAAGGCAGCGCAAATTGGACTTCTAACGACAACTGGCGCGCACCGGCGGCGGGTGGGGGTGTTGATCAACACAAGGAGAATACTAACGGAAAAGACAGTTCTACCACCACTTCTAAGTCCACCTACCACGACAAGGATTACTACTACAGCAATTCCTCGTCTACGAAGAAAGGATCCGGTGCAGCAGCTGCTATCGCGAAAAGCGGCAGTGCGGACAACCTCTCTTGCTCAGCCACGGAGACCGAAGCGGGCACGTCGAAAAGCAGCCGGCGGCAACGGAAAAAGGACAGTAAAGGCGCGGCCGGGGTGATTAATAATACCGCGACCACTACAACTTCTAAGGGCGGCAAGGGCGAGATGATGAACAGCAAAGGGGACAAAACTTCTAGCAACTCGGGGGTGGTTCACAACAACAGCCAGGGCGGGAAGTGGAGCTCTACGAAGGATAAGCATGGAAATACCACATCAACGTCTGCTGCTGGTGGAAATGATACGGTCACAACTTCCGCGACGATTCCCTCTTCCGGAACGAGTTGTGCAGCTGTGGACCACACAGTGTACCCTGCTGTAACAACTCCCTCCGGAGTTACAACTACCACAACTGCAGGAGCTGCGCCGTCCCCAATTTCATCGTCTTTGCTCCAGCAGCCGGGCTCCAGTTCGATGTCCTCGTCTGGGGAAGAAACCGGACCGCGGAAATTACTGGGCGCCTGGGGCAAGCGACTTCAGGAAAAGGAGGAGCAGCAACTCGCGGCCGCCGCGGCCGCGTCGAAGGAGGAAGTATCGTCTTGTCCTCCGCCCTCCGAGTTGTTTAAGAAAACAATGCCTGCGGAGGAAGTTGTAGGAGAGCAAGCTGCAGTCGCAGTGCCGATCGACCACAAAGATCTCCACACAACTGCTCCTTCGCCTTCTCCCCCACAGGAGGTCATCAACACAGACCACCAACAGCAGGAACAACAACTACAACCTGGAGATGGTCCTCCTCGTCCCTCCACGAGCGGCCAGGCGGTCTGCCACGCATTTGACAAAATGATGCAAGGTGTGAACAAGGATGCCGAGGAGGACTCTCGCCCGCGCCGGCACACGGAGGGCGGCCACAAGCCGTCGAATTGGTGGCTCAGTGGAGGCGCTTGCTCGACCGCCGAACAGAGCCCGGCCAACTGCAGCGACACGGGAGGCTTACTCACGACCACGCGCGGTGGTCACCAGGCCGCGCAGTCGTCCAGCAGGATGAGTGTGGCTCCTTTGTCGAGCTCGGCAGCAGATGTTGACCCGAATTATCTCAGCCCCCAGGAGCGCACTATGTTGCGCGCCTCGGCACTGACGCCAACGTCCAACGGAGGGAGCACCCCGGGGTGTCCTCTGGGCCCCACACAGTCGCTGCCGAACATGGTGTCGTCGCGAGGCGGCTCTGACCTGACGTCGACCCCGCCGGGTGGAAATAAGATGAACCAGCAAAGCTCCTGCCTTGGAACATCAAATGCGACTGGGACGATTGACCAGCAGCAGGCTTCCTTTTTCAACCCGAGCAAGCAGCCACCACAGATGCCACCGGTTATGCTGAGCGGATCAACTAGTACGTGCGGCACCACAGGTAGCTCTTCCGTGCCTATCCTGTGCAAAAGTATCGTACTCGTAGTAATTGCGCTTATGCATGACAAATTTCTTTCTCAAGGTGAATCAGCATTACAAATTCAATCTGTAATGCTGGGCTAATTTGTAATGCAATTTATACTAGTACGATACTTTTGCAGTTCATAGTGCCACACCCGGGACAACTGCAGCGCCGTGACATGATGAACGACGCGACGCCGTTCTCCTATCAAAGAAAAAAAGTTCGTCACGATCACTAATGCGCATTCTTGCAATACAAAGTTGTTTGTCATGCGTAAAAATGCATCACAGCCAAACTTCATTAGGGATTTCCCTAGTGTTTCTGCAATACAGGGAAAGTTTGTGATGCTGAGAAAATTTGTAATGCAAAACCTGCAAGTTAGTGACTGTGACAAACTTTTTTTTCTCCATATCTCCGCATACGGTGACAGCACCGTCGCGGTTTCGCCGAACGAGCACAACATGAGCCCGGTAACGGAGACTTCGAGTGTTCGTGGCAGTGGCAGTACCAACAACTCTTCCAGCGCAGTCCCTGCGTTGCCAACTTCCTTGCCGCCAAGCATCACAACCAGTACTAGCACAAAGCCGCTAGGTGGGAATGCTGGCGCAGCACCCGGTGAGCAGGTGGTAACCACTTCTAATGCCCCCGACCCAGTCGCCGGTGGAGCAGAAATTGTGAACCAACAAACTACCACGACGAGCACCGGGATTAGCCACTTGAAAGCGCTGCTGGCCGCAAGTGGCCCGCAAGCGCCGCCGAGCAGCACCCGCTTGGAGCACATCCCTTTGAAGCTGCCCCCGTCACTGTCCACCGGCGGTGGAAATCTTCCGAGTTCTTCGGCATTTAATCTTTCCAGCACAAGTTCTTTTGACTCCTCGCTGAACTCCTTCAGCAGCTTCTGCAGCGCCCAGTTCAACCTGACCACGCAAAGCATGACGCTCGAACCGAGCAAGCTGCTGGAGCAAGCCAAGTCGCAGCCATTACTGCCGGGAGTTTTGGACCACGGTTACAACAAGGCCGGAGCCAAAATTGATATCGAAGGAACTGTGCCCGCCACGACAGGGGCGGGCCAGAGTGGTACTACGATTGTTCCCGGACAAACTTCGAACAATCCGCTGCAGCCGCTCCCCTTGCCGCCGACGGGCAGCAATATTATGCAGCCGATGTTGAGTACGGCCTTCTCCGTCGGTAATGGCTCAACCTCCGGCGCAGCCGGGGCTGCATCCTCGTCGTCCATGATGAGTGCTGGAACCACCTCCTTGCTAAACACCGCTTCCTCCACTGAGTCAACGACCATGGGAACGATGAATCTACCCAACAATTTCCTCCACGGTGGAAACATCAATACGAACAGTTCTTGCAATAACGTCCTCAATACCCTCCTCGGAGTTACAGCGACGACGTCAAATAACGGGCTCAACCAAAACAACCCGGTCACTGGTCCTCTGCAGTCGCAGCAGCCACCGGCGCACTTGCAACCGCCACCAGGCCAGCCTTGGTTGGACGGACGCGTGAGCAAGACGCTCAACGGCCTCCCGCCGCTCGATTTTGGAAATTTGTTTTCGCCGCAGCCGGGGCAGCCGAATATGGCCGGGAACATGAACAACAGTGGCGCAGCTGTTCTCAACAACACTGGCTCAATTTCTGGCGTTGTGCATAACGGGGCAGCTGCTCCGTTTGTGCCCGCTCCGTTGAACAATAGTACCATGATGAACAACGCGAATAGCAATAGCAACACCGGGAATGGTTCTTCTACAACCAGCTTTAATATTCGCCCGCCAAATGCGAGTCCAACGCAGAATCAGAACCAGCAGAACGTCAATCACAATCCGCCAGCGGTTCCGATGCCACCACTACCGGGCAGCTCGTCTAACAGCAATAATTTCAACTTGAACCAGCAAAATAACTTGACGCTGAACCTGCACGGCGCTAATACTTCTAGTACTCCCGCTCCGCCTGTTGGTCCACAATTCGGCGCCAACAACTTGAACATGCAGCAAAATATTAACCTCAACCAGCAGCCGCAACGCGCAGGAGGACCGCAATTAGCTACCGGGCCCAGCGCGACGACCTCGCTGAACACCATGCAAGCGCCACTGCAATCCGCGACCATCCCGCCTTTGCCGCTCAACAACAGCGGCGGGAACAATGTTGGCAATGGAAATGGTGCGACAAATACGACCATGATTCCGCAACCCCCACCGCCGCCAATGCCGCTGACATCAAACAGTGGACCTGGCGCAGTGGGAGGACCACAGGGTCCTCAGGGAAGCAACACTATTAACACGACGATGATGAACTTGAACACAACTACTTCAACTACAACTAGTCTCCTGGGAAGAAGCTTTAGCTCCTCCACCAACCGCGGCATCAACACGATGGCGGCGACGTTTATTCCCGGCGCTACCGAGCACTTCCAGACCGTACCGGACGCGTCGCCGGTGAACGGCACCAATGACATCGACGCTTTTGACGGTATAATTCTGTTTGATTTCTTTGTGTACTAGTAGTTTTTGTTTGCTTGTTATAGTTATTCAGCAAGCTAGTACTATATCGAGGAATACTAGTGTTCACCAACCTCTTATTAACCTACGGGTAAAAATAAGCAGCACCGGATGAACCAAAGCCGCCTGGCTGCTAAATGTCAATGTGAAAATCTACTCCCCAACCTCAAAGTCAAACTTCCATAAAAACAGTGATGTCCGGCGCTTCCCATTCCCCGATGGACCGCGACGTCGATTTTGATTTGACGAAAGTGGTGGAAATGTCCAAGGTTGAAGACAGCAAGCGGAACAATAACGCCACCGCCACCCCGGCGCGCTTCCATCTGCACCAGCACGCGGTACCGCCGAGCGCGTCGCCCAACGGGGGCACCAGCGCGACCGCGACGACGACGACGCCAGGAGGTCCGCCGACCTTCTTCCGGTCGGGCACAGGAATGAGCAGCTCGTCCAGCGGGAGTTCTGGTGCCGCGCCTGCGCCGTTTATTGGGAATAATAGCACGACGACCCTTTCCTCGTCGACCAGTGCTACTGCTACGCCGGCTGGCTCCAAGGGCAGCAGTGCGGTCGTTTCTGCTTTCCAAACACCAGGACACAAGGTGGACTACACGCAGAAGCAACCGGCTAATAGTTCTGGTATGAGTATGACGCCGCCCCCGGCATTGGGCGCAGTTGGCTCTTCTTCTAGCAGTAGTTGCACCACCAGTCTGGGCGGGAACAACGACTCTAGTAGTACTCATGTGCCGCAACTACCGGCAACAATGAAAGGGGCAAACAATTATAACTACAAAGGGACCACTGCTACAAGTACGAGCAGCTCCTGCGATAATACAGTGTCGCCGGCTGGCAATGTGAACACGAATGCTAAAGGCGGTAATCAAGAACATGTGGGTCAGAACAACAGCTGGCAGAGCAACCGGTGGGGCCACAATCGCAAGGGATCCCGCACCATGTCAGAGAGCTCTTTGAGCAAGAAGGGCGGCAAGAAGGATCAGGCTTCAGGAGGTTCCAGTGGAACAAGTAAGCATAGCACAAGCAAAGGTAGTTCCAACGCCAACGGTAAAGACCAGACAAACTACACTACGGGTGGCAGCAAAGGTATTGAAAATGATGTTCACGTAGTTGTGAAACCTTTTTTTGGCCGTTTTCTTGCAATCGTTAATTGAAAATCGATACTACTTCGTTGCATTTGTTTTGTATTTGATGTCAGAAAGCGACGATGCGCGATGTGCGATGCTGCAGTGATAAAACTTCGAGACGCAGCTTGAAACGAACTCGAGCCCAAACCTCCGCACGCCCCCCCTAGTGCAGGATAAATGATGACGATGTATTTGACGCTGCCTGTTGAAAATAAACTTAAACACGATCTCAAGCTATCACCATGACTTTAAGTATCTACTAAAAAAGGTGGGAACAACAAGGGAGGCTCGTCCGCATCTGAAGGCCATCAGCTTCCGCCGCCGCCGGGAATGGTGAATTATTCCGGGTTTAATGAACAGCAGCAACTGGCCGGAGCAGGTACTTCTACATCTACAGGCTCTTCTCCACTACTAGCAGTTCGATGTACAACGGGCACGTGCGTCATCTTAAATTTATTTTGTGAATGAGAATGTATGTAGCAGCTTCTACGCGGAGGTTGGTTTGTAGTATTCTTTGTTCCCCCGCCACTTTCTTTCCCGAACGAAGTTGTGCGATGTTGAAAATTTTGAAAATCCAATCACAGGTGGTCAACAACCACCAGCGAACATGAGTTACAACCAGCCCCCGCCGCCCGTGACTATGAACAACAGCGGCACCAGCGCGAACAATAGCAATACAACCATGAACAACGCCACTGGCGGCCAGCACCAGCAGCAAAACGCTCCTCTTCGTCACCAGCAGCAGCAGAGCGGGCGGCCCCAGCAGCTCCAGCACGCCAATAGCACCATCTCGGAATACCCAGAAAACCCAAACGCGTTGCCGCACACTGTTTCCTACGATACCTCGTCCCTCACCAACGGTGGAGGACAAGAACAGGAGCGTCCGTCTTCCTGTAGTCTGCCATACTTGTCAGCGCATTCGAGCACCGCACAAACCAGCCCGGCGTCCATGATCAACGGGCCGGTGCAGCTTTCCGGCGCAGGTGGTGCGATGATGTTCCAACAGGGAGGTGGAACAAATAACGCACCGGGAAATACAAATAGCCAGCAGCCCTTTGGACAGTTGAACAACAACATGATGAGGCAAAATCCCCAACAACAAGCACCTCCACAGATTCCTATGGGCAACTCTAATACCTCGGCCGTCGCGAGTGTCAGTAGCAGTGTCAGCTCCACTTTCGGCGCATCTACTGCGTTTAACCATAATGCCCCGGCGTTTCAGCCGTCGCCGGTGCTGGGGTCTAGTACTTTCGTCCACCAGGCGATGAATAACTTGAACGTTGGAGCAGGAGGTGGAAACAACAACAATGATTTGAACAACGCAGGACCTCCGACCGGTAGTTCAGGAACAGGCAATGTCAACGTCAACATGCTGAACAACCAACAATTGTCGCAGCCGCAGCAGAACAATTTTGGGTTCAACAACTTCAACAATGGAAATGCTCCGATGAATATGGTCAACGTCAACCACCAGCCGCCGCTAATGATGAACAACAATAATTCATCATCGGCCACAGCAGCTCCAGGCAACAACATGATGATGAACAACATGATCGGAACGCAGTCGAACATGCAGCAAAACAATAACTTCCTGAATAACGGAGGTGTTACAACTTCAAACATGCCTCAGCAACAGAGCAACACGTCGAATCAGCCGCAGTACAGTGCCCACAACCCGTACGCCAATCCGCAGAACTATAATCCCGCGCTCCATGGATTCACCCCTTCCGGAGCCGGGGGTCAGTGCTGCCGCTACTACAAGAAAGTGAACATGGGCGACACCAATTCGGCGACCATTGGCTGCTCTAAGGGATTTCACTGCATGTTCGTCCACAACGACCCCGAACCGGGGGAGCTGGAGGGCTACCACAAAGCTCTGGTGGATCCCATTGAAACGGTGAAAAACTTGCTCAAATTGAATCACGTCGAGAACGGCTTTGAGCGCGTTGCCGCAATCACGGTACTGCTTTAGCTTTATTTGCTCGCTCTTGATGTTATAGGAATTTGGTCGTGTCATAGCTGCTTTATTTTCATAATATGATATCATCTCTACTTCGCCTTCACATGAATACAATCAACATTCTGGTAGCCATGAAGTAGACCACGATCTCACTGCTCACGGTCAGGTCTTTCTCTTTGTCACTAACACACGCATGACAGCACCATTGAAGAGATAATAATCCTTTACAAAAATTTGTTCATCAGGTATACGACAACACTGGTATTAAGCCAGATTGGACTCTCGCGGAGCAGCACAAGGGAACCCGTCTCATCTTTGACTACAGCCGCGACAAAGAACCTAAAATCCAGACCGATTTGACGTCCACGATGAAAAACGTCGGAGGTACCAGCATGATGCAGCCGCCTTCCATGATGGTTAACAGCGCATTTCAACAAGGTCCACCTCTCAGTGGCACGACGCCTGGCCGTGTCCAGTTGGGGTCGTCCCAAAATGTTGCTAACAGCAACATGATGATGCAGCACCCGCAGAATTCCTCCACCTCTACCCAAGACTTGACCTCCTCCTCCTCCCTGCCCAGCACTATCCCGATGATGGCCTCCCCCCCCTCCCACATGTCCTCTGCCCCATCCCCCGCAGACGAGATGACCTTTTCAAGTTGCCGCTCCACGGCGCTGCCAAACACGGGCTCCAGCGCCTCCGTAATGGCCGCCGGAGTTGGTGGGGGTAACAACAACATGATGACCCACAACATTTTCCAGAACATTCAAGTGTCTTCTTCTAGTACTGCAGCAGCAACGTCAGCACAGGGCTCTTCTACTACTGCTGTTAACATGCCGCCAGCGATGCCACCAACCATGCACGAGGCCCGGAACGCGAACGAAAACGTTGTATAATTTCGACTTTGAAATATTCTCCACTTCTTCTATATTTCTCATACTAGAAGATCAGCAACATCACTAGTGGAAGATGTTAAAGTGTGAGATGATGTGTGTGCTGGTGGTATCGAATCACGAAGATGTTGGCCTCTGCAGTTTGTTCCGTGGAAAATAAACCAAAAACAAAACTACAGAATTCCGGCCTGGGATCGAAGAGTATGGACGCGACAGACGCGGGCCACGGTGGCATGGGCCAGAAGTGAAGATATTTATCACATCATATTAAGCGACACGGTTAAAATTTTCAGGAACTTTTTTTGTTGTTGTCATCAATCGATCGATCGATCGATCCCCCTGGAGCTTGTTTTATTTCGTGAAGAATATGAATTCCTCATACACCGTCGTGGTGAACTGTTGTTTGCTACGATTGGAAGAGTGCTGTCTCAAATTAAACTACAAAAGTGCTGCAGATGCAGCACAGAAAAGCGGTATTTTTTTGGAAAATGGCAATCAAGCTCTGTAAGTTGGTAGACGAGATGTTGTTGCACCTGTAACTCATACAACTTCTACCTTCTAAGATCTAATCATTAACGATCCTTTACCTTTTTTTGGCTCGAACTTTTACTCCTATTTTTAAACCATTTACCCCGCCTACTTTTTTTCATATTCATCTGCCGATTGATTCTGCTTCTTCAGCACTGAGAACTAGAACTTAAACTTTTGAAGTATGTTAAGGAAATTATATCACTGCTGCGGCTGTACGCCGTAGGAGGCGATAACCGTCCGACCCGGATGTCCAGGCGTTGTGTGCTGCCTGACGGGCTCAACATAACGGTAAAAAGGCACGGGAAGATGGTCATCGCTCTCGACACCTGGACTTTGTTTTGTTATGCGATGATCTGATTTCTACTCTCATAAGCTTTTGCCACTTTAGCTTATCATGCTCTACTTACTCTGTTTTTATCCACCGTTCTTAAATTCATCCTTGGTAAAACTGATTATTCTGCTTTTTTTTTCGTACAAAAACCAAATTTGAAGAGTTGAAGAGGAAAACTACGAGCCTGCATGAAAATTGTACGTTGTGACTTTGCTACTACAATGTTGAGGCTCAAACTATTCTCAGATTTGGAGGTAGAGGTGCCACGACGGCACTACGACTACCAGTAGAGGTCGTGTCATTCGTATAGTTTGACATGAGAGTCAATTACTCGTTTTCTGTTTTTATGACTGTCTATCTCTATGATGTTTTTCCAGATCAACATGCTCCTACAAGTATTACAGTTTGTCTTTTGGTTATTTAACAAAGGACTCATAAAAAACATAACGAAAAAACCCAAAAAACCCAAAAAAATATAGCGCTCACTTCTTAGATAGATGAGATTTCTACCTGTAGCACGGTGCAGTTTGGCGTTATGGTGCATTGGCATCATGGTCCAGTTTGGCATCGTGGTGCAGCATCTGGTAGGACAAGCGGTCCTTCGGGACAAGCGGTCCGGCAGCGATAGTAGACCAGTCCAACAAGAAGAACTCAGCCTTTGATGTTTCTCGCACGAGCTAAAGCTTTTAGCTATTTAGCATGTTCTGGGAGTCTTCGAATTGAGTTCTACTTCAGTTCGATGTCTGCAGTTGCTGTAGAAAGACGATCTGAGCACTTGTTTTTATTGGACTTCTAGTACCCCGGTTTTTTATCATATCTAACGATGAAGAAAAGCAAACGAAGCACAACAACAAACGCATGTACTTATTTGGTGGTGACCGCAGAGAATTTGATGGCTGTTCTCCTATGCTTGTGTCATGTTTCGTCTTGTTATTCTTTTTTTCAATTTGCTTCCTTTTCCCTGTTTTTACGTGCCACAACTGAGGAGGGCGAAAGGAATCCGAGTGGGAGCAGTGGGAGAGACATCAAATAACACGTAGATAGGCTGGACAGCATCATGTCGTGCTCCTGTGCAACTGACTTTTTCAACATGGCGTTCATCTTGCAGCTCAGCATGGATGCCATTTTGAGTTCTATGAGTGTGAGTTGGTTGTAGTTCTAGTCACTACACTGGACATCAAGAGTTGTAGCGGCACTCCGTCAACATCGCTCTGTAGAAGTTGACGGTACAACTATTTTATTCCGTTTGCCGCTTAGCGGAAGAACAAAAAGCTTTCGATGACGCAAGCATGATGACTAGGGTGGGCCCGCGGTCCACGCGGGTCCTACCCTTGGCGTGGGCCGGCGACGGCGCTCTCAGGACAGTATTGCTCTTCGTCTTCTCTACGTCTACCACTGTTACTGCAGACGCGGCCCTGCCAGCCCTCCCCGTCACGATCGATCCGTTGCACTTCCTCGACCATGTTGTGGTTCCTGCCGGAAAGAAACTCTTGTCCCGGAACAAAACACGACCCGCGAACAAGCGCGAGCCTGGAGATCATGATCCTCGCATCCGCACCCCCACTGCCGCGCGTGCTGCGCTCGCAGCCTTTCGTGAGAAAGAGGGTAGAACAAGAACAACGAGTGAAACACACGGTAAAAAAATCATCTCCTCAGCCACCTGGTCCTCGATCAAAAATGTCGGCAGTGCAGCAACACCAGCCCAGACGTCGCCGGACCAAGCCTGGAAAAACCGCGGTGAGATCAATGCCGCTATGGCACGGGCGCTGCAGGCTTTGGATGACAACGCCGCAGACTGTGTCAACTCGCTCCGCCGGTATCGGGAGGAAAATGTTGGAGCGGACAAGAAAACTCGCTCCAAAACGGCTCTGATTGCCGACATGAACGCGGAAATGGCCAAGTTGACGCGGGCGCGGCAAAAGGCGGAGAGGCGACTGGAAGAAACCGAGGGGTTGATGAAAAGCGAGGTCACCCGGTTTAGCACGGCGAGAAAGAAACTGACAGAGGAGCTTACCAGTAGACGACAGGAGCTGAAGGACTTCCAAAAAATGAACCAAACGATAGCGAGTCTGAAGCCGTGCGAGCAGGGAAATGAAGCTACGACGGAAGGAGCTGCAGCTCAGTTGCAGATAGAATTCTTGCCGCAAGACAAACACCGAGTAGAAGTAGACGCAGGAATTAATACGGGGATCCATCGGGAAAGCAGGAGGAGCGCCAGACATCATCATCAATCTGCTGCTGTCGACGACGCAGCGTTAGAACGGTACTTCAGCACTCCTTTTGATCAGCCGGCAACATTCGCAGTAGAAGGAGCTGCTGCAGCACCTGTGTCTCTTCTGGAAACCAGCCAGAGTACTATCACTGAGCACCAGAAAACCGCCCCATCAGCGCTCATGCCCGCGCTTTGCCCCTGTGACGACGGTAGTTCCACTTGCAGTGCCCCCAAGCTGACCGAGCGCTTCGTGCTGCTCTACGGCACCGGAGTTGAGGCTCTAGAGCAAGTGCACCGAGACCTGGCCGCGCTGGAAAAGAAGAAAGGGAGGCAGATGAACCGGTTAGAGAAGATGAGAAAGGACTTGGAGAGGGAAATCGTAGACCTGACGAAGGAAAAGGAGGCTACGAAAGACACATTCGAAAAAGCCACGTTGGATAAGAGGGCGGCTGGGATGGTTGCCGCGAAATGGGTATGATTTTGATTTGTTTGCTGTTGTTCATAATTTTTTTTGAACGATTCAAATAAGAAGGTCGTGAGACTGAGATGGATTTTCTACGTACCATTCATGCACCCGAAGAAGTTATGCCGACTACATTCTTTCATCTTCTCACACTCATCACCCCCACTCGCGGCTCACAACCCCCTTTCTTCAGGCGAAGCGTTTCTCCTCGACCGCCCGAGCGTGCCGGAAAAAGATCGACTCCATTGCCCACCAAGTCCTGCCCGCCCTGAAGTTTTTCCGCTCGCACTTCCACGCCTTGATCAAGGCAAAAGCCGAGCCCATCCAAGACTGTGTCGTTTCTGGTTTCCAACCAGCCACATCCTGCGCCGCTGCGCCGGGAGATGACGGCAAAACCAAAAGCGCTACATGTTACAACAGCACTACGACTGCAAAAGCAGGAACAACTTCCGGCAAAAACACGATCGGCACGAAACTGTGGAAGCGCAACATCCTGACCGCCGCGAGTAATATCAAATGCAAAAGTGTCTGGGTCTGGAAGAATGCAACTTGTGATGCTGCTTTGGATGTCTAAAAAATCTGTGTTGCATGAGCAGCAAAAGGATTCATCTAATTTTTGCTCCGCGGAGAGGGCATTTGTCATGCGGAATAGGCATCAAGAATCCAATCCCTCAAAAAACCTGTGACGCTAGGGCATGCATCACAGACATCATGGCTCATGCAAACCGTGCATGACAAGTCTCAGAATCTTCCAGACCCAGACACTTTCACTTTTGCATTTGATAAGTAACTTCGGTGTGCAGTGTGGGCCGACGGAGAAAGCCGTTTCCTGTGACCTTCCCCAGTGCGCGAGGCCCTGCAAGGTCGACGGTTGGTCGTCGTGGTCGAGTTGCGAGGCCGGGTGCAGAGCATCGGTCGGCACGCCCGGAATGCAGCAGCGGACAAGAAAGTCGCTGGAAGTAGAAGATGAAGAAGCTGGTGAAACAAGAACGTCTTCGTGTCTCCAACAACCTCTCACGGAAACCCGCCCGTGTAAGTGCGAAGATGTAGCACTTGGAAAAAAATTCTCCAACGTTGCAAACCCTTGCGCGGTTTCCCCGTGGTCCCGTTGGGGACGGTGCTCGAAACGGTGCGTCGCCGCGGCGGCTTCGACTGATGCCGAGAAATTTGGAACCCGCTCACGGACGAGGAGATTGCTACGACCTGAAAATTGCAAAGACGCAGTCGCCGAAACGCAGTCGCTGGAACCAGTCCTGACTGAAATGGAGGCGTGCACAGCCGCAGCTGCTACATCTTTCGCTGCAGAAGTCACGGAGCCAATAGAACATCAACCAGACGCGATGCAAATGGTGGATGGAATTTCCCTGGTTTCATCCTCTACAAAAGATCAGACCTGTGCGGCCGATTTACGTTGCGGCGGCGTCCAGGACCTGCTGGTCGCCGTGCCAAGGCTGGGAAGGAGCGAAGTACGCTTCCTCTCTGAATTGTTCAACCGGTTAGATGACAAGCTGTACGGAAATGCCGCGGTCAGAGTCGGGGTCTTGTTTTATGGAAGCGAACTCGTGAGTCAGGCTAGGGAAGTTGTAGACGCCTCTTCTTCTACCTCGGCCGCCGGAGCTGCTGAAGCGTCTCCTACTACGGGAACGGAACCAGAAACAGAGAGTGAGGATGGAGAATTGAAATCCGCTGTGAAGCTCAGCCCACCAAAAATTGTGGCTGCGCTCGGCGCCGCCAGCGTGAATGGGACTTTGCAAATGCTGCTCAAAGAGAGTCAGCGGCACCCTCCTTCAACGTCCCAAGACCCCTTCCTTCCAAACACCGCGGCGGCGGCGGACGTTGCGGCTTTGGAGTTTGCACAAAACGGCCGCGCCAACGCGCAGCAGACCGTTTTGTTCCTCGTACCTGACTGCGAGAAAGCCCCCGCCATCTTTCGAAAGCGAGCGACCGAAGCATTGTGGAGGCTGAAGAAGAAACTGCGCGTGCAAGTCGTGGAATTACAACAGGACACGAGTAGTGGTACAACAACCGGTATCAGCACGCGAGCAAAGAGTTCTTCCTGTCCGGCCAATGAGCAACTGTTCAAAAGTTGGGTTTCGGAACCTGTCGCGGAAAACTTTGTTTCTATAGTTGCTCCGACTTCCTCGGTTGCGACGAGAAGTCAAGAATCAGTACCGAGTTCCGGCACCATGGCCCTCCTCCTCACGAGCAGCTCCACCTGTCCCCGCATCTACAGCCCGGTGCAGGAGAAAAAGATCGCCGGTGCCGTCGGTTTTCAGCTGCTTCGCGAACAAGCGGACTGCCGCGAAGCGTTGGGGGGAAACACGACGGTTCTCGGCGTGTACGAAAGTCGCGTGGCCTGTGCCAAGGCAGTCGTGGCTGTGACGCGGGACGAGAAAGCGAAATTTTCCATGGAAACGAAGAAGTTCTGGGTGGCGCCATCAGGAGCTGCGTCAAGAAGTACAACAACTACTTCTCCTGATGTAGAAACGGCCACACAAGGTGAGGGCATTTCTGAAAATGCTGCCAGCGGTGGGGCAGGGCCGTTTGCAACCCGGGAGCTTGCTACGAGATGTGTGTTGCATCAAGAAGGAGTCACGGACAGCAAAGGAAGTGGTGCTGCAATAGCATCTGCACCATCTGCAGCTTCTCCGGTGGATTCTTTGAAGTGCAACCGGAAGTCGAGCCCCGATGAACATGATGAGCAAAACTACGAAGATCAGGCTTCTTCATCTTCATCTTCCGGGACGACTACAACAAAGATGAACCTGTTCAGCATTGTAAAGAACGAGACGGTGTTTGGCGCCCTGGCGTTTGACAAAACTTCCGAGTCACCGTTAAATGCCAACGCCGGAAAGGTTTCGCTGGCGACAGCGGAACAGATTCGTGCGGTCGTCGCTCGCAATAAGAAGTTGGCGGCAGGAAGAAAAAGTGAAAAGACAGAGGAGGAGAGGTTGCAGGAGAAGGCGTTGCGGGCGGCGAAAGAAAAATTGGAACAGCAAAAGGAAGCCGAAAAATTGGAACAGCGAAAAGCCTTGGCTGCGGAGAAAGCAAGGCAGAAGGAAGGCGAAGGCGCGAAGCGCGATGCCGCGGCGAAGGCTGAAGCGCTGAAGCGAGAGCAGGCGGAACGGGCAAAGCAGGAAGCCCTTGCGAAGAAAACGATTGCGGAACGGGTTGAGGCCGAAATGAAGAAAGAGAAAGCCGCGAAAGCAGAGCAAGCGGCCAAAAAGGCCAGGGAAAAAGCAGCTGCGGAAAAGGAGGCGCAGAAGGAAAAAGAAGCGCAAAAAGCGAAGGAGGCGAAGGAAGCAGAGAGAGCAAAGGAGGCACGAGAAAAGGCGGAAGCGGCGCAAAGGGCGAAGGAAAAGGAGGCGAGAGAGGCTAAGGAGCGGGCAGACGCAGAGGAAAAGCGAGCTAAGCAGAAGTTGGTAGCAGCGGAAAAAGCAAAGGAGGCACAGAAGGCAAAAGAAACGGAAGAGAAAGCCGACAAGGCTCGGGCCGCGGAAGTAGCCAAGGCGAAAGAGGCGGAGAAGGCCAAGGCAATTGCGCAAAAGGCAAAGGAAAAAGAAGCAGCTAAAGCTCGCGCTGCGCAAAAGGCAAAGGAAGCTGCCGATGAAAAAGCAAAACAAGCTGCAAAAGCCCGGGATCATGAAGCCGAAAAGGCAAAACAGGCCGAGAAAGCCAAAGCCGATGCGCAGAAGGCAAAGGAGGCAGCAGCAAAGGCGGCAGAAGCAAAGAAGGCTAGAGAACAAGCGGAAGAAGCGGAAGCGGCAAAAGAAGAAGCAGCCGCAGCTGCGCTCAAGGCCAAAGAAGAGCTGGAGGCAAAGCGAGAAAAGGAAAAACAGGAGGCCGCCGCGAAACAAGAACAGGCCGATCAGGAGCGAGAGAAAGCTGCTGATGCGGAGGCCGCAAAAGAAGTTGCGGACGCGGACGCAGAGGAGAACGCAGCCGCGGCTGCGGAAGAGGCGGCGGAGAAGAAGTTGGCGGATGAAGCGCTGAAAAAAGCCCGGGAGGCCGAAGCCGAAGCAGAGAAGTTGAAGCAGCAGGAAAGGAAAACCAAGGCGGATGCGGCGAAGGAAAAGCAGGACCGCTTGAATATGGCGCTCTCACACGTTAATACCTTGATCGCTGGTGCGTGATGTCGCATTGGTTTAAGATGCTGCAAGAATCACAAAGGCAAAAGCCGGGGTCTTGTTGCGCACCAGCTTTTTGATGCAATACATTCATACAAATCCGGCAAAGATTTTGATTTCCAACCTATAAATGTAGCGCACAGTCAGCAAGACTGATTCATGGATGCGAGTCAGGGTCAGCTTGATCATGCTCCCGATGTTGGTTACCAGAGGTCGTCGTCATTCTTTTTATCCTGCATGACAAAATAAAATCAAGGAGAAACATATCAACATGTTGTACCAGCGAACAACGTAATATTAACGTCTGAAAAACGCCATATTAAGGGACCAGCAGGCCGCGAAAGACCACGAGAAAAAAGCAGTTTCCCGCGCCGTGGAGGCGGAGCGCGAGAAGGCGCGGCGGGAAGCAAAAGAAGCATTTGGGAAAGAGCAGCAGAAGGAGCGAGAGAAAGAAGCGGCAGCGCGACGTGCGGCTGCGAAGGAGAGAGCGCAGGACCGGAAAGCGCAAGCGGAGCGCGAAAAGCAGATCCGCGACCAGGCGATAAAACAGGCAAAGAAGGCGTGGGACAAGGCCGCACGGGAACGCAGCGAGGAACAAGGCCGAAGCCGTGATGAGCAGGAGAAGAAAGCCGAGCGCACCGCTGCGCAGCGGCTGCGGGAGCAATTTGACAAACAGATGCGCGTGAGAGAGCGGGAGCTGCGCAAAGCTGCAGTGGACGCAGCGAAGGACGCGACGAAAAAGGCGCAACGGGAGGCGGACAAGCGCATCGAGAAATTGGAGAACGAGCTGTCCGCCCAGAAGCGGAAAGCGAACGAGCGCATCGCCGCGGCCGAGAAACGGATCAAAGACTTGCAAGAGAAAGCGGCACAAGCGAATAATCAAGTGAAGAACAGTAGTAGAAGCAGAAGAAGCGCTAGCTCCTCGACGGACAAGCAACAAGACCGTGCGACACAGAGAGTCCTGCGGGAAATGGCGGAGCAGTTACGTACACTCAAGCAAGAGAAGGATAAGATCGAGGAGAAAGTAAGAGACTTGGAATCTGCAGCGCGAAACGCGAAGCAGCGTGCGGCGGAGGCGGAGAAGCGCGCAGGTGAAGCCGAGGCAGAACAACAGCGGGAAAAAGCAGCAGAGCGGAAGGACCAAAAAACGCGGGACAATTTTGAGCACGAGTTGTCTGTGAAAGAGAAACTCGCCGAAGCGGCCCGGCGAAAAGCGGAAGACCGCGAAAGGGCGGCGGAGCGCGCGCAGTGGAAGGCAGAATCCCAAGCAGAAGTCGCTGACGCCGTGGCCCGGGAGCTCCGCGCACGCGCAGAAGCGGTGGAAAAAATCGCGGCGTCATCAAATCGTGCAGCCGCGCCAGCCCAGCAGCCGCAACAGGCCCCCGCAGAACGACCTCCAGCGAATCCAACAAGGCCCGCTCCATCGCCCGCATCATCTCAACCGCCGGTGAATGTTAATGTCAATGTGAACGGCTGCCAAAACGCGTCCTGCAGCGGCAGCTACCAGCCCCAACAGCCCACACCGAGTCCTGCTTCGAATCAGCAGCACCAGAACGCGGCGTCGCCAGCACCAGTGCCCTCTCCGCGAAAAGGCGGTGATTCTCGCCAGCAAGACTCGCGCATCGCGGAACTCGAGGGCAAGAATCGCCATACATCCGCAGAACTAGCCGCTGCGAAGCAACAACTGCGACAGGCCCGTGACCTGCTGGACAAGGCTTTGCACAAGAACGCCGGAGATCCTGGGGACAACCAAAAGTACGTGGAGCACGCGCGGAAGGATATCATGCGCGTAAGGGGAATAAGGCGGGACGTCGAGAGGGAGGATAACGACCGGAAAAAACCGAGTATCGGGATGAGAAAAAGTCCTACCGTGGACCGCAACATTGCTCCGAATAATCAAGTAACAACAAATCCGAACGCGACCAAAAACACTCGAGAACGACCCCGGAAACCGTTGTCCAGAAAAGGCACCGCGTGGGAGGATGGGAGGCTGACGGGCGCGAATCATGGAGCTTCCGGTCGAGGAAAAGACAATCCGGCATACGGGGATTCGGGATTAGGCATGGCGGGCTTCATGATTGTGCCACCGCCGCCGATGATACCAATGGTAGACGATAGGTTGGGCGCGCGGTCTACTTCCGACGGCGCGGAGCCTAGTGGTGCAGGTGGTAGTGGTGCAGCACCAGAAAGAATGCCGCTTGATGCGACTGAGGTTGCGGGTGCTGCACGTCTGGAACAAGCAATAGACCCGGCATTCGAAGGTGTCATGATTGTTCCCCCTCCTGTCACTTGAGAAGATAGGACTACAATCACTGCGCTTGCTAGCCTAGCCCTACCGACTCTATACACAATGAAATATTTTCTTTTCCAGCGAGCAAGCCGAAATTATCGCTCTCGCTTTGCATCCCACAAGCAGGTGGAATGCATTTTATTTCTACTGAAGCACCAGAAACAAAAAACAGGTCGACAGAGCTACTCAAGCTCTTGTGCCTACCATGGTCTAGGTGATAGTGCTTTCCTACACATCATGTTCCTCTTTTTCTGATACCCATCCATAATGTGGTATTGCTTCAACGAAGGGAAAAGAAAAAGATCCTTACTTGTTCAATCTGGCAGTCACGATAGAGATAGCCTCACTTAGTTCTAACCACGACAGTCACCGCGACTCCGTGACTGATAGTCGTGTACAGATAGCCCCAGCAGGAGCATCTTCACGTTCAATCAGATGCAAGTGAATGAGACAAGAACCACACACACCAAGCGAAAGTGATCTATACTACACTTCCATTAGGCCGCGACTTCCAAGACTTCTTCGAGATCTACCTTAAGCTTAACCTTTCTCTTTTATGGTCCGTTTGATCTAGTATTTTTGAGTTGCCCTTTTCATGTCACCACCTACTAGTACTTCGGTGTCTACGGTGAAGTCGAAGAAGATAACGCGATCCTGCTTCAAACGATCTAGTTTACTAGTATCCGAAGAGTATCCTTTGCTCGCAGACTAGGCCGATCTAAGGTTTCTAGGTCAAGCACAAGCTAATGCCTTGTCTATAACGCCTCTCATTTTGGAATTGGACGAGGTGTTTCTATTTTTAAACTTGTTGGAGTTTTTTCCAAGGGACGAAGATTTTCTTTTGCTCCCCAAGAGTACTTAAAAAAAAAATTGTGTTTCGCAGAGGCGGATTGAAAAAGATTGTTTTTGACGATCACACATTGAAAGCGACCTCACTGCTCTTCGCTCAACTACTTCTAGCGACTCTTAGTACCTGCAGCTCCAATTGCAAGCAGCTTTGCAAATATCCTTAAAGCGACCACCTCCCGCACGAATCGACAAACTCTCAAGATGGCAAACAAGCCGGCTAAGTTGGGCAACAAAAAGTCCCCCAAGAAGGAGGGCGAGAGCGCCACCGAGAACAAGAAGAGCGAGGGCACCGTCCTGGACGCCGATGGCGTTTTGTCCATGAAGGTCTCCAAGCAGCACGGTACCCCCTTCTACATCCGCTCCGCGTTGTCCTTCCTGAAGGGGCAGGGCGAGGACAAGCCGGCCGTGCCGAAACTCCGCATTTCCGCCCTGGGCAACGCGATCTCCTGCGCCATCGCCTGCGCGTCCCGCATCGAGGAGGCCAAAATGGGCAAGCTCGAATCCTGCCAGACCACCTATTGCGAGGAAAAATCCCCCCTCCCCATATTAAAAAGGATACTTGTGATGCTGGATTTGCGTACACAAACGCAGTTGCGGCCTGAATTGCAGGCAATTTGTCATGCTGTTTTGCACTTCCGGTTGCCTCCTGTCATGCGGAAGATGCACGGCCTTCCCACGCCAGCCAGCACCACAGTCGGCATCTTTTACTTTTGTGTGGAAGGCTTCCAGCATGACAACACGACTTGGTGTAGCAAATCACGCTACACAAATCTCCGTTCTAGTATGGGGAGGGGGGATTTTCATTTTGATGCCACCTACTTCAAAATCCCGGGAGGCAAGTTCGTGCCCCAGATCACCGTGCTCATCGAGAAGGCGCCGGGGGCCGAAAACATCGAAGTCAAGGAATTGATGCCCCGCCCGCCGAAGGAAGGAAGCAAATAAGTGGAATTCACTTGCTTGTTCGCAACGGCGACAGGACAGAGAGATGTTGACTCAGTTCGACTCACGAAAGATGATGATTTTCTGCGAGAGGATGAAAATCTAAATCTAATGACTCACCGACAAGAACTTCAAGGTTTATTACACACTAAGACTAAATGCTATTCACTATTGCATTTGCAACTACTTTGTTCATTATGATTCGAAACTGCACGAGGTCGGCGGTGTGCTTTTCCGTACATCGGCTGTCCTCCTGCAGACTAGACGAAATTACAACGCAGTTGTAGCTTTACACATTTACCCAACCAGCGGCAGGAATCTCTGCGCACGAAAAATGAGGAAAAAGAGCAAGTCGATATCGTCACGAGAACAGTAGACCCTCCTCAGAGTCGTATAATCTCCTGGTGTTTTCCCCAGAACATCAGCTACGACGCAAGGTCGTAATGAGAAGGCCACAGAAGTGTACTTCGATACCTTCTGGATTGAGTAGTAGTGAAAATTTTTTTATATTTTCATCAGATGCTTCATATCCCAGGAGACCATTCGAACACATTGCGACGTGCCACGATATTGAGTGCTGTTGTTGTCTTTGTCTGACTTGTTTGAATCTCAAAAAATATGCATCATGCCACGGACTCGGACCGTGACCAGGCGGGCATTCATTTTTCATGTGCCGTCTTTCTAAGGTAACAAGGGTCTGTTCCTGATCAGAAAATAGAAGAAGGCCATCTACTATGGCGTTTTGCTTTCCAAATATCGAGCAGCTGCAAAGACGCGACGCTGCGTTTTCACACCTCCAGGCTTCCTGGCCGAGGCCGAGCATAATTACGATGAGACGAAAATCAGGTTGAAGTTAATCGAGAGACAGACAAAAGTCCGAACCCGATTCATTGAGGGAGAGTGATTTACAGATAGAGGAGGTGGATGCTACCGACCGCCCGCTTCATTTTTGTCTTGCGCCGTTGCCAGGATGATTACTTACCCTGACACAACAAGGAAGGAATGCTCCGAGCCTGTGCGATGAACAACCAAGGTCAAGCTCAAGGCGAACGTGTGACAACATGAGAAGATCATATTTGCCCGATGTTATCGCGGCCTCCGCAACTTCTCCGGCGGTTAGGATCATGCCTGCTGCTGCCCTTCGAGTTGCTAATCGGGTTCCTTCGCATTTGCGTCCGAGAGTGGTGCGGCGCAACGAAGAAGAACCCGATCAGACATTGTCTGTCCCTCACATTCTTCTTGCTCTTCCATTCCTTCACCAACTGGCAGAGTCTTGTGCATCACCTCTTCGTCCCGCGCGTCGTCCTGTGCACCCACTGGCAAGAGCCGGAGACTGGAATCCGGCTCGGATTTGACCAATGCGACAGAAAGTCGCTCGGGGCGGGAACGGTAATGGCGACAAGTTTTTTCCCGATAAACGGCTCCGTGTTGGACTGGATATCTGCATTTCTTATCCTCCCTCCCGATTTCTTCCTGCACGACCACGATGTGACAAACGCTTTTTTTGTACCACGCCACAGATACGTCGCGAAATTAAACGCCTTCCGCCGCGCCGCGTGGTTTAAAGTCTCGGAGCTGGGGACGGGGAGGTTGCGAGCATGGTTTTCCGAGATGATGAACCTCGAAGGGTTTCATAGACTTCCGCCCTGGATGGTGAAGCAGCTGCTCGACTACGAACTCGCGAGGAGAGCGACGAAAGGCGGGAGGCAAAGAGTATTGCGGACGACCAGGCGAGGAGCGATTGGCAATGCCAAGAGATCATCTCTCGAGGACAACAAGCCACCGACTTTCTCATTTCCGTTGGACGACCGGGTTCCCGAGCATCCGCTGCTGCCAGGCAAACCCTGCTCGGTGTTTTCCTTCGGCATCCAGCAACAAAAGGATTTCGACGAGTACTATCTGCCCGCTCCAGAAAGGTCGAAAAAATCCGCATCTTCGTGCAGGGTTTTCTCGTTCGCCGAAAAGAGGAACACTGGCGGAACAGATAACGACCCAGAAGAACCGCCTCACGACCCAGAAGAACCCCCTCGGGGTAGAACGATCATAGTCGACGCATCTTCACACGTGGTCCCTCCTGCATCCGCATCGCCATCGCACCAAGCCCCGATTTCCAGTCGGCACCAAATCCACTTCGAGCAGTTGGCATTGGGAAACAGCGATAGCATCGTCGATGTCGACATTAAGACAGTTCAGCATCTACCCATGGTCTCAGAGCTGCAGAGCGACGCTGTTCTTCGGCGGCAGCGACAAAATCAAGAAGACGATGCTAAAACCAACCCATCCGACCGCTTTATCAGGCAAAAACGGCTGCCCACTGTGATGAAAGAGAACCAGGTCGGGTTTCTCGATGTCCTGCGTCTTGACATCGGCGGTGCCGAGTGGGACGCTTTGCGAGATGTAGAAGCCAACATCCAAAAAATCGGCGTTTTGTCGGCGAAGTTTCGCTTTTTGCTAGGTCATCGGGACTTGCCGAAGTTTTTTTCGCTGCTTTGCGACCCAGAGGTGGAGCAGGAAAAAGCGTTGCAACATTTGTGCTTTGACCTCGCGGTGTGGGAACATTATGATGCTGAAGAAATAACTAAAACTACTCCTTATGATCGTCCCAACACTGGTAGTGCTATGGGCGGCTGCGGCTCAGCTTATCCTTGTGTTACATTGACAGCAACACGACGCGACCACACCAAAACGATACAAACACAAAACACACTTGTAACACATAAAAAGAGAATACAACCATATTATCAGACAGATGTTGATGTGGAAACCACAAGGTGTGGCGGCTGGTGCGTGATTTCAACATCACACATCAACACGATCATTAACGGCATTTCAATTCTGGATCCTCTTCTTGTTCGAAAACATGAGATGATACACATGAATCATAATCAATAAATCTGATTCGATTTGATGTTTACCAAATTTCCATCTCATACATGAATGATTTTTATTTCGAGATTTGATCCCTCTGAATACCAAAAAAATTATCCGATTCTATATCTATGGAAATATGATATCTTTTGCGATCTCATATGAAAGATAGAGAAGAAAAAATCTTCATTCGTCATGTTTGTATTCAATATGAATAGGTAGCCAATCTTTCTTGTCCTTGCGTTTTTTTCTATCATTTTTTGAAATTTTTATTTTCTAAATTTGCTCAGGATTTTTTTTCCCACCATCATTTTAAATGAAGAAAACAGAATATTTTTTTGTTTTTTTTTTGATGTCTCGGATGTCATGGGAATCTCTCGATCCATATCGATTTACATTCTGATCTCAGAATTCGAAATTAATTCTCCAATAATCCAGAAAGATTCTCCCTGCCTCAATATTTCTCTATCGTTATCCTTCCATGATCAATCCAGATTATGAATTCTATTCCAAAAAAGCGAAAATAATATCGGAATGAGATATGTTTTGGATCAAAATTCAATATTCACACATGAGTTTTATGATGGAAATCTGGATAATTTCAAGAGAGATTTCAAATTATGGAAATATTACTAGGATTCTAGGAAAAAATGTCGAAAATAAAGACATCGATGATCCTGATAAATTCCATTTTCCAATAAAAGATTGAACTCAATTTTATCGAATTTTCCGAGATTTTTTCATTTATTTTCATACATATCCCATGGATCTATAGAAACGAAAAAATCAATGATATCATTCCTGGTTCCTTTATCAGAATCTCTTATCCCAAGAATCCATATAAAAAGAATTTAATTTTATCGATAAGAATGAGAATCCGATGAGAATCAAAGATTGCATCGCCTGGATAAGGATATGATGAAAGAATATTATGAATGAGAATGTGGAGGATGGTGTGAAATTCATTTTCATGTTGATCAATGAAATTTTCGTTGTCGCAGTTTGTCGTTGGTCTCGAATTTGTTTCATTTTTTTCATGGTTTTCTTTTCTTCGAGAAAGGGAGAAACGCATCGGCATCGATTCATGTTCTCGTCATCAATTGGTGGCAATGCAGGTAATGCTGAAAATCCGTAACAAAATGTTGCCTTTGGTCGTCCCATCGGGTGCCCAACTTTTTCAGTTTTTCTCGATCCGGCGCAGTCAGCTCGATATTGTATCTGTGATGCGAGTTGTTTGCTGGATTGCGATAAAGGAAAACTCATGATCTCATCGGCAGTTTTGCGGGGCGATCGCGGTGCAAAGCATTTTTTAGCGCTGGTTTATCCATTTCTACTCGTCGCCATATTCGATGTCAGTGGGAACATGAACAAAGATGCTGAGAGATACACATCAGTACCAATATGTTGCACTCGCGCCGCCGTGTTGGCACAACGGCGCGGCAACTTCTTCATAATTGAGGGACCATAGAAACATAGACGAGCTGACTCAAAGGCTTGTAGATTTTGCAGCGTCCGTAGATATGTAGTGCATAGAAGTCCTCGAGGATGCAGCCCGGGAGACTTTCATGCGCTCCGTCCCTGGTCCACATGCGGTCGGTTGCTTGAAAGGATGAAGCAAACAACCGGCCCAAAGAAAACGCAAAGTGACTACATTCCATGGGCCCTAGTTTCCGCCGGGGCTACTGACCCAACGCGGCATCAAAAAGCCTCAGTGGCCTAACGGACGGACGACGGGGGGGCAAGTCGGCTGCGCCGAGTGCCGGGAGCCGGGTCATTTGCGAACGCACCCTGCCAGAGGCATCGCCGTGGCCACGGAGGTAGAAGCAAGCGCACAAGGAAGCGCAAAACTCAAGAAACGTGGCAGCAGGCGTTGAAGTAGGCGTAGGAGTAGGGGAAGAAGTAGGCGCATTCATAGGCGTAGAAGTAGGCGTAGAAGTAGGCGTAGCAGTAGGCGTAGGAGTAGGCGTAGAAGTAGGCGTGGAGGCAGGCGTAGCGGTAGGCGTAGGAGTAGGTGTAGAAGTAGGCGCGGAAGTAGGCGTAGCAGTCGGCGTTCCGGTTGTTGGGGTAGCAGTCGGCGTAGTCGAAGCGGCATCGCGAGGGGCGAGGGGTACAAGAGCAGAGGCCCTACCAAGGGCGTAGCCGTAGTGGCGCTGCTAGGGGCGAGCGTGCGAGGGAGCAAGGCCCGCCCGTTTTCCTTGCGCATGTTGGGCGGGATGGCGCCGAGGTGACACTGCTGGACGGGGGGGGCGCAGGGGCGGCGGCCGCGCGCTTTCGAAACTAACAACCGCAGGCCGTGCCCCGAATCTTGCCCGCCCGCGCGGTTGCTGACTAGCGCCGAGGGGGCGCGCCACCAAGCGAAGCCAGGGAGGGCGGCGCAATGGGTGGCCGGGGCGGGGGGATGGGGGGAGTCGGCCTGCCAGGCAGGGCGCTACCTCCCGGCTTGCTTTTTTACGAAAGTGCTGCGCCCCACCATTTTTTCCATCCTAGCCGAGACCCTGACCCGGGGCCGCCTCGCCCTTGCTGCTAGCTTGGCTCGGGCGTTTTGGGCACAGCCACTGACTGGCGCGCTAGCGCTAGCTTCCCCCAGAGCACGGCGCTTGCCCCCTCGCCCGGCCCCGTGGCCCCCCCGGTCGGTGGCCTGACCCACCCTGCCCCCGCCCACGCGGGGGAGGGCGGCGGCCGTCTTCTTCCAAAAGACTGGCTGCAGGAGTGCGCCGCCGCTGTCTCCTGGGCGGGCGGCGGACAGCAGCGGGCCTCGACCTAGTCGCCGCAAGATAGCGGCAACATGCCCCCGATACGTACCTACGGCTGCGATTTTGGCAGCTACTTGCGCCTGCGTGTCTGTTTATTGCGTGTGGACGCTTCCTCCACCGCTTTGGCGCAAAGAAGAAAATGGCTGGCGCGGCGGAAAAAAAAAGTGCCCGTGGACGTTCCCGCGCGGGCGCTAGGGGAGCGGGGCGTAAGGGGCGCAGGCCGGCGGGAACGGGTGCGCCGCGAGAGCAAGATAGAAGGGGCGGCCCGGGGCCTGCCGGGGTCGCAGTCACACCCACGGCAGGGAACCAACCTGGGGGCGGTGGGGGTTGTTCGCTAGCTCTCCGAAGGCGGGGCGGGGTGGCTAGGTCTTTGCCGGCAGGGCGCTAGGGGTATTAGAAGGCGGGCCCCATATGTGCTACCAGGATCAGGAGCAAAAGGCCCCACCAGGGGCAAGAAGTTCTATCAGGCGCAAGATCTGCACGCGCCTGCCGAGGCGAGATATAGCGTATTGCGATGGAAAAGGGGCGCTAACACTACAAGGAGCAAGAAGTCCTGCAAGGGGCGAGGCGTATGCGCAGGGGCAAGATGTACTGCGAGGGGCAAGATGCACTGCGATGGGCAAGATGCACTGCGAGGGGCAAGATGTACTGCGAGGGGCAAGATGTACTGCGAGGGACAAGACCTAACGCAAAGGGTAAGTAAGAAATGCTGCCAGGGCTAAGGGGCAGGCGCCAGCACGCAGGGGCAAGAGGTTCCACCAGGAGCAGGGCGCACCGCACGGGGGGCGAGGGGCACTTTCATATTGAAGGGGGCGAGCGGTTCTCTTCTGAGCGAGGGGGCAGGGGCGTCACTGCGTCTAGGGCTCGGGGTATTTTTGTAGCGCCTAGGGGTTTCTTTGTCGTTCATCGTGCCGAACCCCTACAGCTCAAGCCGTAGAATTTGTCGCAAATATTTTCACAGTAGCACGCATTTTAGCAAAAAAAGTGCGCGAATATCTGAAAAGCCCTAGAGCCCGAGCCCCAGAAAGGTCCCAGCTTTTGTCGTAATAGCATGCAGGTTCAGCACTTCCAAAATGTCGCGCTTTTTGTGGTTTTTGATCGTTCCCTACGGCTCGACCTCCATCTTTTGGGCCGACAGCCGTGCGTATTCGCAAATAGGAAAGAAGACCACTTTGAAAAGCCCTAGGGGTTTGCCCCAGGTTTGCTCCAGGTTGAGCCGCAATTTCTAATGCTGTTTAAGGGTCTCAAAACTTTCCTCTACAGCCTTTGAGCCAAGTTCGTATCAGTCTATAATCTATATAACTAATAGCCGCGTCCGCGGGGGTAGTGAGGTCTAGGCGGTTTTTTTTGTCTTCACGCCAAAAAAACGCGGCCTCTCTGCCCGCCATGCCGTCGCGAGTAATGTTATGCACGACGGCACGGCGGTCGGCAAAAATCTCGACGCAGAGCTGACCATCATTTCGCTTCGAATCGAAAAATCTTCCCCGCATGCTAGGGCCCCACCCGGGCCCCCGCCAGGGTCGGCCCCTTGGGAGCCCCAAATCGGGCCCATAACATGCGGATTGGCTTTTTGCTTTCGGCGAACTTTGCTTTTTTTGTTTTTTTTGTCAAAATGCCGCATCTTCTGGCCTCAAGTCAGCCTCTGAAATGGCGGATTTTGGTGGCGTCTTTTGCGGGGCCCGAATGTGGGCCAAAATAAGGCCCATACCATGCGGATTCGCTGCTTTTTTCGGCTTGCTGCTTTTTGCGCGCCCCTTTTTGGGCGCCCCAAACCGCCAGAAACCAAGGCGGCGGGCGCCTCAGACGGGCGCCCCTTTTGCCGGCTCACCTGCGTCGTTTTATCAAGCGGGACTCGATAGAATTGGCTCGGGCTTGTTTGACAACAAAGCCCCGGCCGCTTGATAAGTGAAAATCTTTTATGTCCAAAAACACTTCCGTCCGCTTGAAAACTGCCGGTCGTTTTGAAGGTGAGGTGTCAAAAAAACAGCTAGGATAGAACGTTCGTGACCTCACTACATACCACATTCGTGTCCGCCAAACCATATGATAACAACACATAGACAGGAACGAATTGAAATTGTTCTGTATCGGTTGTACATGTCCGTTGCGATGTGTTTGATCCGATCGGCGTTCGCGGAGGTGAACACGAGGCCCCAATCCTGGTCGAGACACCACTTGTATGCCACCACCTCATATCAACTGCAAATAATATGCGGTCTGGGTCCGGATCCGGAACAAGGCTGCAAGTGTTTGCCATGCTGGTTTTGCATAACCCAGTGTTCTGGAACGCGAGGTCTAGCATCTTCACAAGTCGTGTGAGAGCTTTTCCATGCCAACTCTGCATGAGAAATCCTTTCTCAAGGTGCGTGGCCAAAGACTGACAGCTTTTGCTAAACACGCATGACAGATTTTTTTGTGACTGCCAGACAGCATCACAGGTCGACACCTTTGTTCCAGACCCGCCAGACGACATATTTGCAATGCATACCTCGCTACTGGTGTTTCTCGCGGTTGCCAAATCGTACAGACACCGCTTCAGGTCTCGGTTCTTCTCCCACGGGGTGTCGATTGGGGGGTTCCGTTCCAGGTCGTGGATGTCCTTCAGTCGTAGTCTCTGCCGTTTTCGCTTCTTCCGGTCGCGAGTGTCTTCCGAATCCTCAGAATTCTTCTCCCAGCAATCCTCATCGTCATACGGTGGCCCGTATGAGAGTTTGAGTTGTGCACCATTCCGCCTCTACTCAGTTGTAGTGCATGAATCGAATAGCAAGACAAGCGTCGGTGGCAGTTCATGAATAACAAGAATGCACGTTTTACAAGAACTTCAACTTCACCACGTTGTAGTGCTGTTTGAAGGGCTGGCAAAAACCTGTTGTGCAAACAATGCCCAGAGGCTAGCGCTAGCCTAGGAATGGATTCGGTGACTTGTGATCTTGCAGGACTACAAAGGAGGGGGACGAGGGGGGGTTTGTTGTGCAGCGTCATAGCTCGTAGTCTCGGTCCACGAACGGGTCCTTCTCTGGGTCGGTGTCGATCTGATTTTTCATGTTGGGGGTTGAAAAAAATCTTTGAAACGATATGCGTGTTGACAGTGGTATAAGATGAAACGTCAACACGAATCTGTGCTCCTCTACTTCTATGTGAAAATTACCTCAAATTGTTCCGACTCCACACTGCTTTCGGCCCCAAACACGACCTCCTTCTGCCTTTTTTCTTCCGGCTCAGATTCGGGCCTATGAAATGCAAAAATGTCTGGGTCTGGAAGGATGTAAGTTGTGATGCTACATTTGGATTCCAAAAAAATCTGTATTGCATGAGTAGCAAAGGGAATGCAATTTTTGCTACGCTGCGAAGGCATTTGCTATGTGGAATAGGCATCAAGAAGCCCTCAAAAAATCTGTATTTCTAGGGTATGCATCACAGACATCATGGCTCATGCAAAACGTGCATGACAAGTTTAGAATCTTCCAGACCCAGACATATTTGCAATGCATAGGGCCACCGCTCCTTCAATTTCCGCGGGTCCACGTCGAACTCGCCCGGCGGCTGTGGAGTGCAAATATGTCTGGGCCTGGAAGATTGCCAGATTTGTCTTGTTGCATATTCTGCATGGCCCCCGACGCCTGTAATGCATGATCTAGCATCCGCATCGCAGATCTTGAGAGGGCTTCCTGATGCCTATCCCTATTCTGCATGAAAAATGCCTATGCCCTCTCCGCGTAGCACAAACTGGTGACTCCTCTGTCTTGCTGGTCATGCAATACCGGATTTTTTTGGAATCCAAAGACAGCATCACAAGTTCCATTCTTTCCACACCCAGACATATTTGCAGGTGATAGCGGCGTCGCCCGCAACGGCCACGCGGCGCCGTAGACGAAGGTTTTTGGGATGAGGCTGCGATCGTCGCGGAGCCCAAACCACTGGTGGAAGTGTTTGTCGGTTCGTGTGTATCAAATGCGAATATGTCTGGGTCTGGAACAGTGGAACTTCAACTTGCGATGCGTGTCTTGCATTTCTAGAAAATCTGTGTTGCATGAGCAGCATCAGAGGAGCTTCCTTTGTCATGCAAAAACGCAACTTGTGACGCGTGCTAGGCACCAGCAGGCGTCTCAGAAACTTGTCATGCTTGGCTGCACTTGCAAGCGCTTCGATCATGCTCAATTCAGCATCACAGGTTTCCAGACCCAGACATGAACATGATTGTAGTGCATAGCGTGTTCACCAAAAACTGCGGCTTGCGGAAGTTCTCCAAATCCTGGATGTCCTCTGCGAAAGCATCGCCCTCGTAATAATCGCAGTCATGCATTACAAATCCCCATCCCAAGGTAAATCAGCATGACAAATTGCATTTCTCATGCTGAGCTAATTTTTCATGCGATTTATACTAGTACGATACTTTTGCAATGCATACTGGATGTCTAAATGCAAGTGCGCCTCTACCTGGTTACAAACCGGCGCAATCGCGCACCGCAGCTTGTTGTCGAGCGGGGTGGTGCCAGGTTTTGGCGCTTGCGTATTCGTTTTTTCCTCAAACATGAGGCACTCGATGTCCGACATTGGGAAGTTGCTGAGCCCGATGCTCCGGCACAGGCCTCTTTTCGCGCACTGCTCCATCCGGGCCCAGGCGCGGCGGAGTTTGCTTTCCCGTTTCTGGTTCGCGTGCCGCATCCGGGATCGGAACAGTTCCAGAGAGCCGGCTTGCTGGTGTAGTTCGGCAGTAGCTGCTGTCGCTTTATTTGTCCCGTGAAGATTTAGATTATCATCTTCGGGAAAAATAAGATTATCCGCGAGCCGCTTCGCGTCTTCCTGCAAGGATTTGTCGACGTTGAAGGCTTCAAAGGGACAGTGCAGCAGGTAGAGGTCGACATAGTCGGTCTGGATATCCACTGCAAAAGTATCGCACTCGTACTAGTTTTGGCGGATATGCATGACAAATCAGCTTCCCAAGGTAAACCAGCATGAGAGCCTCCATTGTTCATGCTGAAAAACTTTGCAATGCAATTTTTATACCTACTTAATACGGTGCTTGTCATCTTGTGCAATGCATACTGGAGGCGGTCCAGCGACTCGCACAAGGAGCCGAGGATGTCGGCCTCAATGTCCTGTTCCTCTTGACCCGAGGAGCTGGCGCTCTCTGGAAGTGGGGCCGCTGGCGCACCTGCAGTGCCGGAAACTACTTCCGCTGCAGCCTGTGCCTCAGCACCCGGCGTCCCATCCGCAGCTTTTTTCTTCTTCGTCGTTGATTTACTTCGACTTGGACCTCCGCTTCGACTGCTGGACGCCGCCGTCGCGTTGGTCGACTTGGAGGCAACGCTTTTTTTCCCCTTATCACAGGAAAAAAGTGTTACAGTTACACATTGTGATGCAAGACTGACAACAGAGACAACCCTTCTCATGCAGGAAATGCTTGGGAGCCTCGTTTCCTTCCTGTTTTCCCTTATGATTTGCGCATTACAAGTTTTCCTTGCCACATAGAGAAAATTTGTGATGCAGAAACTCCAACAAATGTGTAACTGTAGCACTTTTTTCTCGTGATACCCCTCCAACCCCGGCCAGTACTTCGTCGTGAGAAAAATTTCCCTCCGGTCTATCCCAGTCTTTTATGGCATTCTCAATTGTTACACTCACAACTGTTTTTACACGGATTTGTCATGCAAAATTGCCATCGGCCTCCACGTGATCAAGGTGCTGCGTATAGCAAACTTTCGAAGGGCTAAGCAGCATGATAATTCGTCCCAAATTTGTCATGCAAAACGCGCAGTTTTCCCGCTTTTCCTTTTGCTGTTCTTGCGTCACAAATTAATGTAACAGTTGAGAATGAAAGAAACGTTTGAGAACGCCATATCTTTTGTGTCCAACGTTGAATCGCTTCCCCGACGCTCTGCTCTTGTATGACAGTGCACAAGTAGAACCCCCACTCATTTGTATAGCATGAAGGGCAATACAAGCATCAGCACTAATTATGCAGGTTCTGCATGACAAATTTACACTGCAGTGTAGATGTAGTGCTGTTCTTTGGGCAGCTACCAGAACTTGTCATGCATATATAGGGACAGGAGGGACAGTCTGGAGATGGTGTGTTGCATGAGAAATGAGGACGAGGGGGAGCAGTTGTGCGCTGTGATATCTTGCCCGTAGAACTCGGCGGTGTCGATGTGCCGGATGCCCGCATCCAGCGCAGCGATTACAGAGGAAACGAGCTCCTCGTCGATAAAATCCTCCTGACCGTGTTTGGTACCAGTCGCGTCAATAGTGCTCGCACCGCCGCCGTTTCTCGCGTACCGGCCCTGAATCCATTTCGTGCCCGTGCCGAACACCAATTTGGGGCAGCGGACGTAATTGCTGAAGTAGAAATGCTGCTTGCGATCCTCGAACCGGCATTGGCGTATCCTATGTCAAAACGTCTCCACCCCATAGTCAAGATGGGGAATCGACTAGACAAATCCACAAGCTTTGGCTGTTTCGCATGACAAATTTCAACTCGTGGCGTAGCGTTGTTTGACCTAGTTCAGCAGCATCATAGATCTAGTTTGTTATGCTGATTGGAACATGACAAATTTCAAAACACGACTGGAAAATGCTTCTCATGGGGCTCCGCATGAGAAACATTTTCAGCATGCAGATTTGCATTACAACTACTGGGTGGAGACGTTTTTAAATACGATATGGCGGTCTTCCGCGTCATCCACCGGGTCGGGGTCGCTATCGGGCTCGAGCACCTGGTCCGACAGTATGAACCGTTCAACTGTTACATTCATCTCAAACGTTGCGCTAGAAATTTTTATGCAGACTTGTGATGCAAAAGGTGCACGATCGTTACAGATCCAGCCTCTTCTCACAGGAGTACGCATGACAAGTTCGCGAACTACACCAAACTGCACTGAAATCCGGATAGATCATCTTTATCACAAAAAGCGGAGCAACAGTCTGTGTGTCTCGTCTCATGCTGATCATCACGCAACACAAAATCCAGCCTCGTCTACTGTACCAACGTTTGAGAATGCGACACTTGAGCAGGTTATAGAGAGCCAGTAGTATTTCAGGTTGCGCAGGGACTCGAGGTACTCATGGTCAGGCTCGTATTTTTGCACCTCGACCTGCATATTGATGGTCTACTGGATCCTCGTTGTGTGTCTTAGAAGTATTAAAACTGCTTATGCGCTGAGATCGCGGCTGGCGGGTTTGACTTCATTAGCATCAACGAAGTAATTATTCTTGGGGCTGCTCGTCATCATCTTGTTTGGCATAAACGCAAGAAGTGATGGATACCGAAGGAGATAGGTGTTAAGAAAGTGAAGCTGGAGATCGTGGGACAAAAACTTGATATGCTCTGCGAGGTTTGTAGTTCGCCTTCGTCTAGCAGAAAAGAAGCAGCACGCCACACCAAAAGTAGAGTGCACTTCTCTCACGGTCACTTTCTTGTTCTTCTCTCAATGGAATGCGTTTTTCAACAAACAGCCACGACAACCAGCTATTCCTACTCCCTCAAGTATCTTCTGCCCAGGTCGCTCAGGCACTATCTCATGGCTATCTGTCCAACCGTTGGACTCCAACGCCCACATCGCTCATCTCTCACAACACATTACTCATGCTCTCTCACAACACATTACTTAATGTTGATCAGTACAAGAAGTGATCACAGAAAAGATGCGCTATGCGCACGTAGCCCGAAGAAATAGCAAAGCATATAGATACGAAGAGTAAGGCTTTGTGTATCCTTTACCTGTCTACTTTCAGCTCGCGTTCTTTCTCAATATTGTCTACTTGTTTCACCGTAGCTCACGCCAACTAGTACTCGTCGCCGCGCCGACGTCGACCTGAAAGATTATTGCCCTTGTTGCGCACCACCGTCGCCGTTCCGATTTTGATCAGCCGCGGCAGCGGGCCCAGGCCCACCACCTGCTTCCCCCATGAGCCGTAGCAACCCGCCCAACTGCGGATCGTTTATGATGGCGGCCTCAAGTTCGTCGTCCTCCATCTCCTGTACCGGCACCGTGTCCTCGACCGACAGACCTAACAACTTCGCCGCCCGCGTGGCGTTTTCGTAGTGGCGCGAGGGTTCGTGCTGGGAGACATCAAAGGAGATCGTGACAGACGTGACACGAAACGTCGCTGCAGAATCGTGGTCGTGCTGGTCAATCGCTTTGCGAAAGTCGTCCAGGTCGTAATAAAATTCGTTGCTGTACGCAAATATCCCACTGGCGTTCCCGGCGATGCGAATAGCGACGCGGGTGTCCGACGGTGGGACATACTTTTCCTCCGCATCTTGGTCACCATCCTCGGAAGCCGTGCTGTCCTCGTCCTCGTCTCGGTGAAAATGAGGGTCGCGGTCAAAGTCGAGGTCATCGAAGTCAAAGCGGTAGGGACGCCGCTGGTGGGGGTCGTTTCTAGTACTATTTGCAGCTGCACCACCGGCTGCTCTGTCTCTGAGGTCTCTGCGGAAAATAGAAGTGCCGACGCGTCCCTTGACACGCATGAGGTTATGAAACTGTCGGGTTCCGTACACCTTGGCTCCGTCGTTCGCTACCGCAAAGGTGAGCGAGACGCCTTTCTCCGTTTCTTCGATCTCGTCCCGCCCGTCGGTTTTGCGCGCGTTGTGGGAGGCGATTAGGTCGCTGGCCAGGTTGAGTTGGAGTCCCGTCAGGGGGTCCACAGTGTACTCAAATTCGTACTTAATGCGGCGATCAAAAGGATTTTGCGCCGCCAGCGACTTCGTGATCTTGGTCGGGCTCAGGTTGACGGTACGTTGTTGGAATCTGTTGATGTCAGTGTCGAAGTAGGTGATTGAGAATCCGAGGGCGGCTTTCGCAGCATCCTGTGCCTTGGAGGTCACTCCGCTCGCTTCCGGGTTGGCGGGACGGGTCGGCTCGCTGGCTTTTAGGTACTGGAAGATTTTGCGCTGCAGCTCCTCTGGGATATGCAACGGAGCAAGAACCTGAACCTCGTTGTTCCCGGCGGGTACTAGCCGTTCTGCCTGCTTCTTTTCAAAGCAGATGCACGCACAGTGGACCGCGCGCGCGTTGATCACGCGATAGGCCCGCGACTGGATGTTGTTGAGAGCGGCGGTCTCGACCTCAGTGTAGAGGCGCTGATGATAATCCCGGGCCGTCTGTTCCGCAGGCGGGGGCGGAACCTCTTGCGCTGCGCCTGAAATCATGTTGTTGCCTTGAAGAATGTAAACGTAGAGTGACAAACTGAAGCTGTTTACTTCCTATATGAAATTGTTAACCGCGGCTTTCATTGTGCCCTTGGTAGAAGTTCACGTCCTGCTTCTCCATCTCGGGCTTACTACGACAGCCAAGCTATTCCTATTCGTGTTCCAACTGCTCCCTCAAGCATGTACTATCCAGGTCGCTCAGGCACTATGTCATGGTTATCTGTCCAACCGTTGGACTGCAACGTCGCTCAACATCTCTCACAACACATGACTCATGCTCCTGAAACATGATGTTGATCAGTTCAACAACTGATCACGACCAAAAGATGCGCTATGCTCAAGTTGTAGCCTGAAGAAAAAGTAAAACATAAACGATGAATAAGATTTTTTGTATCGTTTACCTGTCTACCTCAACTTTTACTTTCAGCTTCTCAATGTCCACTTGTTTCACTGTAGCTCACGCCAACGACGGCGTCAAGGATTATTAACCTTGTTGCGCGCCGTCGCCATTCTGAGTTTGTCTTGCCGCGTTGAAGATCATGATATCCCGCTTAAGCGGCCGACGATCACCGCCAGCAAGAAGTCTTCGTCCCGCTAATATCAGCTTTCTGGATCATCATCGACGGCCAGGAAGTCGAGCTTAACAACAGCGCCCGGCTCGTAATATGAAGAGGGTGCATAACTCCACTACTTCCCTTCTAATGTGCTGTCATGCGAGATATTACAATGTTGTGCGTCCTCTCCAATTGCATGTAGTTATCGCGTTTTCTTGTTTGTGCTTGTTTTGGAGGGTGGTCTACGTCTACGACTACGTAAACGTACGTAGCTGCAGCTTGCATTTACATGAAAACGAATGACAACCATCAAGAGCACTAGATCTTCATTCCGCGCGCCGTCGTGGGTTTGTAATCATGCAGCGTCAATGTGAAGATAGAAGAACTTCAACTTCTACCTTATCGCATATTTCTATATATTTGTTTCTGTTGTTGTGAACAATTATGCCTTGTAAGGGCGAGGGAATTTTGCACGCTCGTATCGTCCCGTTCTCCGCGTATCTTTCAATTTCGGCTTGCACTCCCCACACATATGCATTGCAAATATGTCACCAGGGTCATCTGGAAATAAGATTGAATGGCGTCGAGCATGCAAATGACTTTTTTGCATGAGGACAGAAACAGGAATTTGGACAGCTCAGGTTCACTCGCAACAACAAAAAATCTGGAAAAAAGATTGGAGCTTCAACTTGTGATGCCCTCTCCCAGTCACGCAGAGATCTGGAATCAATGCATGAGTCGCAAAAGCTGGCCACTTTGTTTATTTCTATTTGGCGACAGTGCGAGATGAGGAATCGTTCTCATTGCCATTTTTAGACCATAAATGGACATTGCAAAGCTGTTGCAGAACTTGTGATGCTGGACTCTGCGTTCATCGTCCAGACCTACTGGACCACACAAACTGCGTGACAATAGGATTTTTCCCGAACCAGACATACACATACACGGTCAACACGTATTTGCACTGCATAAAGCACCCCACACTCCCACGTTCCATGTCCCGCTACCCGCATCGGGCCCCAGATCGACTTCTACGCCCCCCACAACATCGTCTCGCTTCCGGACCTTGGTTCCGTTGTAGCGCTTCTGCGTTTCACGGTTTTCCTATGGAGGAAGCGAAGCGTCAGCGATCGTTCAAAGCCGACAAAGTGAATACGAATAGCGATTTCTTATTCATATTCTTGTGATGAAGATGCGTATAATTATTTACAAGAAACTACCGATGCCTTTCTTTGCTTTCTTCGACCGTCCATTTCTAATCGTTGCACGACAAATCTGCGGTTTGTTCCGACAGAAAGGGCGCGAGCTGCTCTGGAGGTGCTCATGCGCTTCAGAAAGAAACAGGTGTCGCCCAATCCGCAGCGCACGCAGGCACAGGACTACAAGTACAATCGACCTCACGACTTGCTTCGCTTGCAATATCGATCATTTTTTTTGTTTTTGTATGGCATATTTATTCAGGCAAAAATAAAATTAAAAGCACAATAAACTCATTTTCACTCTGCCGAAGGTTCTACACGACGTTGACACAGAGGTATGAGAGTGCACAACTCCCCCTCGTCCCCTCCATTTGTCATGCAAAATAGCAAATCCAGTTCCTTTCCAGCCGAGCCTTTTCCCTTTAGCGCTGCTTGTATGACGGGTTCAGGAAGCCGAAACACTAGTACTATCGGTCGCAAAATTCCCATGCAAACACTGTATTTTTGCCAGCACGACTTGTGCTCCTGCTGCTTATGCTTTTCAAATGAGGGGGAGGGGGGGTTGTGCACTGTCATAAGACACTCCGATCATACACCTGGATGCCCGGGGGAAAAAAAATCCGTCTTAATGTCCTCGTAAAAAAAAGCGAAGCACGTAGACAAACACCAATTGTCGAACGTAACTGGGTATGCGTTGCAAAGGTCGTATCGTACTAATAGTAGAAATTGCAATAGTTGTACAAATCTTCCCACAAAAGCAAAAGGTATAAAGTAAAATGGAATTCGTACATGCAGAGTTCTTTTCTTTGCATAACAAACACAACAGGATCAGGCATGGGCAACACAAAAAATAAAACAAAAAGATGAAGATCTTCTGTCATGCAAGACAGGCACGCATAGTCATACAAGTATAAGATACTTTTGCACAGGATCATAATGGCACGCGAACATAGTATCGTTCGATGTCGTGTGGGAGCAGGGGATGGCGTTGTTGACAAGAATAGGCGGTGAAATTATGCTGGGCGATGTCGCAGACCATTCGCGTTTCCCATTTTTGGTCCCCGGATTCTTGCATTTTCTTCTCTATTTCCTGTGTGTAGTGCAGGAGAAATGGGTCAGAATTCGAGGCGCTGTCCCATCGCCCACGCTGCCCGGTTCTGGTGCCGTCTAAGTGCTATGCATTGCAAATATGTCTGGGTCTGGAAGATTGCTGGTGCAAGTTGTCCTGCTAAATCTGAATCATGCAAAAATCTGTGTCTCATGAGTAGCAAAAGCTGGTGTCCGCTTTTGACCAAGTTGAGAGGGAGTTGTTTCTCATGCAGGATAGCCACGATAGCGACCTCACAGAATCTGTCATGCTGGGTCCCGCATTCGGCATTCCAGACCTCATGGGTCACGTCATGGAAAAACTGTATGACAAGTCGCGCACCCTTCCAGACCCAGACATATTTGCATTTGATAAGTGCACCGCTTGCAGTATAGCGGTAAAATTGGTATTCGTATTCAGAAATCGCAAATTTTCTTTGCCCCTCCAAGGGCGGCCGGCGACCCAGCTGGATGTGGTGCGGCAGCGACAGGAAGAGCACTAGACAGGTAAGTTGGCGGAGTTCGGCGACCCTGCTATTTTTAGATGGCATTTTTGGAATGAGTGAATGGCTATCTATTAATGTAGCTAGCTTGTCGTGGTGTTAGATAGTTCAAAATGTGACTTGCGCTTGTAGATGTGATTCCGCATATCCTGGCGTGTTGCTGCTTTTTCCGGAGCGACGTAGCTGCGCTAGGCACTGCGTGTTGGGCACCACTATGGTGCCCAAGGTGGACACCGTGGCGAACCTGCTGCTGGGCCGAGCCGGAGGACCCGTTCTGACTATCTTAGATAGTGACCGAACATCTCAAGCGCTATCTATATTTGAACTATCTAGCACCACGACAAGCTTAGCTATTTCATTCGCATTCGCATTCGTCATCAAATAACTTCACTTTCGAAAACACAGTAAAAAAGGTCGGCGCAGACGACGGTGAAGACGGGGGCGGACGACCTTGGGCGGCAGGTGGAGGAGATTGTTCTGCTGGGCTGGGAGGGGCCGGAAAATTTTACGAATATTGAATACGAATACCAATTTTCCCGTTATATGCAGGTCCCGAGCGGCGTCCACGGGCCCGAGGCCAAAGCTACCAAGTGCAAACGTGTCTGGGTCTAGAAGACTGCCAGGTTTGTCATGCAGATTCTGTATGATCCATGACGTCGCCCCCTGTGTTGCATGATCTAGCATCACAGATTTTTCGAGGGCTTCCTAATGCGTATCCCGCAAGAAAAATGCCCTCTCCGCGTAGCACAAACTGGACTCCGTCCTGTTACAGCTACTGGTCATGCAATACAGATTTTCATTTTTTTGGAATCCAAAGACAGCACTACAAGTTCTGACCTTCCAGACCCCGACATTTTTGCAAGGCGTAAAAACCGGGAATCGTCGACTTGTCGCTGCTATGACTTGCAAAACTATCGCACTGGGACTGGCAGCAGTGCTGCCAGTGCGGTAGCAAAAACCGCATTGCAAATTAGTTCAAACTCAGCATGACAAATGAAATTGTTATGCTGGTTTAATGTACAGTTATTGTTTGTTTGTTCATATTGGACACACGGAATCCGGGTGAAGGTTTTCTTCTCTCGTGTAATGTACAGTTATTATTATTGGGTACATTCGAAAGTAGGACATCTGTAGTCATGCATGATTTTTTTTTTTCATCTGTCATGCATGAACATGATTGGGATAAAATTTTCAGTACGAGAACGATGATGCTTTTGTAGTGCATATCTGATAAAATCTGCGCTACTGCGCAAGGACCGATCTACAGCAGCAAGTCTTTCTCTTACCCCAGCCTGCCGTCGTTCTTCCAGATATCGCGGGTTGGGGCTGAACAGAGAAACCAGCCAGTCTCTCCACGAGACAGGCTGTATGTCTTCCGGGCTGTTGCGTGAGCTCAGTAACCGAGCGATGATGTTCGGATGCCCGTCTTCCTCCACGCGTGCTTCTATCGCTACCGGTGAATTCCAGGGTACGTAAGAAGGGGTAAAGTTGATCGCTGGGTAAAAAGGTATGCCAAGTAAACGCAAGCTGCGAGGAGAACACTTGCAGGCAAGGAGATCTCCGACTACTGGTCTGGCCTCGAGTACGTTTCTGGAGCACCAAAAACCCTTGTCGAAGCACCACTGCCAGTTGCCACGATATGTAGAAAACCGGTTCGCTTGATGTTCTCCACGCGGGGTTTATCCAGAAAAAAAACCCCATCCCCATCCAATTTGTGATGCAAAACATGCAGAAGCTGCAGGGTTTGAAATGCAAAAAATGGATGGGGATGGGTGTTTTTTCCTGGATAGGGTTCGCTTCCTATTTTTTGCCTCCACGGCGCCGGCATTTTTATTTTTCTCGATTGTTGATGCGGGAGGTCCTCGTGGCTTCTTGTTATCACCGATCATATTATCGGTCGCGTCCTCCGCTTGCACGAAGGTAGCACGTGCCCCCACTTCGACAGACATAGTACCAGCCGCGGTTCTTTCCGCGTTGTTCTCGACCGTGTCCTCCTCGCGTGGTTCATATGAAAGCCTCAGGTTGGAAATTAATACTCAAAGTGGGGTAATGCAAAAAAGCGACTCCAGTCGAAGCAGCATTTCTAGCCGGCGCATGACAAAGGTCCCGGGCACTCAAAACGTGTCTGCCATGCTAGGTAGGTAAAGGGGTGCCTTTCTCTCGTGCTAATCAGCGGCCCAATTCTGAACCCGTAGAAGCACAACGAATAGTCGGCCTCCATTGCGTTCTCTGCAATACAGTCTTTTTGGTGTCGCATTTCATCAGGCACCATCACAAATTATTTTCACTTTGAGAATTTCCATTCTGAGGCTCTCATAGTCCATCTTCGTGACTTCTGGTTCTGTCGGCCGCAACATCGCTGTCACCATTTTGATCATTTTTGCCGCGTAACCGAGCCCCAACATCTTCGGGGAGAAACAGGCCAGCGATCGAGATGCAGGTGTGCAAATGCGTGGTCAACGCGATGTATCAAATGTAAAAATGTCTGGGTCTGGAAGAATTCATGTTTGTCATGCTTGTCTGGCATGACTCTTAAATCTGTCATGCACGTTACCCAAGAGCTCCGTTTTTCTGTGATGCAGAAGCGCTGTTTGTCATGCAGAATAGGCAACACCTAGGAGCTCAGAAACTTGTCATGCTGAGCCAGCATTTGTAGCCTCATCGACCATGAGACGCCACCCAGCATCACAAGTTTCCAGACCCAGACATTTTTACATTTGATACGATGGGGGGCGACTTCATGATCCCGAGCAACCTCGATGGGGACAAAACGGACACACTGACTTACAGATGAGACTCGCTGCACAGACAGGGTCAGATCCACAACGACACGCGGTCCCGGATGGAGGATGGCATTCTTGCGGTTTTCTTCATCTCGAGGTGGAGGACGTGCAATGACTTGCAACGTACCCAAATACGTCCTTCGACTTCCACTTACGCACGATGAAGAATTCCTGACTTCCTTTAAAAACGCTGAAAATTATTGTGAGAAAAATTCATGACGCCTTCAACCACAACAAACGAGAGCGTGCCCCTGTCCTGGTCCTTGTTGGTAAAAGAATTACAGCAGCGAAGAGGAAGACCGCCGATCAAGAAGACACAGACGCCACACTCTGCTGTTGGCAGGTACCCTCATCAACTCTCACTCTCAATAAATCTCTTAGCAGCTACTTCTGTGGCTCGAGGGACGGCGCTTGCGCGTCAGACGAAGTCAAAATGTTTAGGTTTAAGTGTGCTTCTCAAGAGATTGTAAACAGCATCAGGAGACCGAGACGAGCAGGAACATCAGCAACGCGGGCGCCTCGGAAGCTGCAACAAAAAAGTATAATTTTAAAACTGATGCGCTCTCGCCGCGTTCGCCACCCTTAATCACTTGTTTGCAAAGGCGTGGTCCAAGAAGTCACTTGTTTGCAAAGGCGCTGCCAGGTTCTACACGTAGTATTCCAAGAAATCGTCGAACCTCTCGACAAATAAGTATGTTCAAAGGAAAACGAAAACTGCAGTAGAAGCGGGTGCTGCAGAGATACGGAGTGTGAAAGTGAATGATAATAAATAATTCGATAAATTAGATGAACGGCAACAAAGTACTAACATTAACGGAGCGAGCGTACACAAAGACATAGGAAAACGATAGTGAATCCTGTTTGGGGATTTGGTCAGCACTAAATCTTCGCTCTTAGGTTCTTGTGCCTTCATTCACTGGTCCTCATACGCTGCAACGCAGATTCCTGAAACGGAAAAAGTTGGAATCGGATGCGAGCCTGCGGACGTCGACGTGGATTCGACGTTTCAGCAGTTGTGACGCTTCAGGACCTTCATGGCATCTGGCCACTGCAGTCCTGGGTCACATCCAGTCTGCTCTTTGTGCTGCCCGACGAAGATCGGCGGCCCGCCGCCCCCTGCTTTCCGGACCTGGATCCACTTGCCGTCGCACTTCGTGGTGCACTTTTCGGCGAACTTCACTCGTGGGTTGCTGTGGTCAACGAGGCGCACCTTGATCAGTGAAAAATTGCGGGGGCGCATCAGCGCAAGTATCCTCCACATGCAGAGCCTTCGGTTACCAGTCCCCGCGAGGAAGAGAGTTTTCGTGCCCGCTGGAGGATGACAGCCGCCACCTCCTGGTGTGGGGGCGCTCTCGTCGTCAGTTGTTGCGTTCTTCGTGGGTGCAGTTGCCCAGCACACGTCGAGGCAGTCCAAGGTCGCTGGCGTGTTTTGAGCGACTGCTTGCAGCTGTTCCGCCAGCGAGTCCAGGATGCTCTTGTTTGTCTGCCGTACCGCGCGACCAGAACTCGTGTCCACGTAGTCCCGGAATTCGGATTTGATCGTGTCATGCGTAAAGTGGACGTCGAGAGGAGAGACCCAGCAGATTGTGCCGAGTTTTGCGGTCTGTGACGGCAAGCGTGCATACACGTCTGCACCGGTCACCAGGTACCGCGGCACCGTCGTTGCGGAGTCACAGGGCTGGGCACAGACGGGGCAGGTCATGTGCTTCGTGAGAGGATCGCCTTTCTTCGCTGCGTTTGCTCTTTTCACGGCCAGGTGACCGGTGAAGCACGAGACACAGTGGTTCCACGATTTGCAGGTACAGGTTCGCTTGCCTTCTAGGATCGGGATGGCTGGAAGAAAGTTCCCGGCGTCAAGCAGCTCGCCGTATGGAATCGCGCAAATCACGCAGCACTCCTCGGCCGTCACCGTCTGGCAATGGTGAGCCGGCATCTCGTATTGCAGCACCTCGACCAGGCACACCTCGCACGTCAGTTTTGTGAACGGACAGCTCTGTTGGTGCACCGCACGCTCGTGGAGGGGGCCGCGCCATTTGCAGCAGGCCACGTTCTTTGCATTGGTTTGGCCGCACGAAACTTCTCGAAACTCACACGTCTCCTGCTGGTGCCTCTCCATCGCAACTGCCTTCACGCGGGCACCGCACTTGCCGCAGGTCTTCATAGCGTAGGCACAGGTGGTCTGCTGATGGTTGTTCAGCTCGCTGGCAGGCATGAACTCGCCGCAATCTTGACACATCACCTCACGATTTTCGCATTTTTTCCGATGCCGCTTCAATTTGTCCTTGTTTTGCTGGTCCTCATTGCAGTGCGGGCATACGAACGCACGCACAGTAGACGTGCTCGCAGCCCCGCAGGTATTCGCAGCTTCCGCTGCGCCCGCTTTGATGCCCTCGAGGCGCGCTAATTCTGCACGAAGCAGCGGGATGTCCGTTTCCAGGACACGCCGGAGCTTGGACGTGCCCGGCTCGGCGCTGTTCATGTTCGCCTCGTCGCGCAGAGACAAAGTTTCAACGACGGGCTATGAATTGCGAAAGTTGTATCGCACTCGTATACGTTGCAGCCATGCAGATGACAAATACGTTTCCCAACCAGCATTACAAATTCAAATTCCACTTTTGTGTTATAGCAAAATTATTTGTAATGCAATAACCCATAGCTACTAGTCGTAGTCCTAGTGCGATACTTTAACTTTTGCAATGCATACGGACTTCGCTGCCGCAATTTCGACGTTGTCGTCTCCGTCCATTTCGTCCGGTGAAGGGTCGTCCGCATTCGACGCCGCAAGGAGAATGCATGGCGTTCTCAAACGTTACATCCATAGCTGCTACACGCTTTGTCATGGAAAATTCCGATCACAATCGACACGATCAAGCTGCTTCGCATAACTAAGTCTCGAATGGCCAAACAGACTGGGAATCTGTGCCAAATGTGTCACGCAAGACGTCGCGCAAGGCCACGGTCGCTTCCTCACTTTTCCCATTCTTCCATCACAAATTTATGTAACAGTTGAGAGTGTAACGTTTGAGAATGCCATAGAATGGCGCTCCCGTCGAATTCTTGGAGAAGAGTTTGGATGTTTTCGAGACAAGCGTCCAGACCCTTCTTGTTGTTCTCCGATACTTTGCAACCCACGTGCAGCGTGTCGCGCATGCGATGTACCTGAGAAAGCCACTCGGAGGAAAGTTGGTTTTTGCGAATTTCGATCGCCTCGTGCCGCTGGCTCTTCTCCAGTGCGGATTTCGTGTTTTCGACCTGTTCGACCGTCATCTCAGTGCGTAGGCCTGCGTCAAGATCTTCACCGAACTCCTCCCAGGGATTCCGAACCTCACGGTCGTCAGGAATCAGGTCGGTTTGGTAGTGTGCGAAGTAGGGCACGTCGATGATGTCTTCGTACCGCAAACCGAGCCAGCCCTTGTGCGCAAGCGCGGGGCGGTCTTCCGGGTTTTCGTTCACCAGGAAGGGATCGCAGCTACCCGTGTCCTTGCCAAGGCCTCTCATGTGGTCTGAAACGTACAGCGCAAACTGCCCGTTCTCCAGCCGAAGGTCTCGCTTCCACGCCCGGCCGTAGAACGGAATCGCTCGCATGTTTGTGGTGCAGCAGACAACGCTTTCCTCGAAAGGCGCTGCGTGATTTCGATTTGGTTGATGCGTCCCGCGAGCGCCTCGTCGACCGGCTTGCGACTTTGGTTGCGCCGATTGTCCACGGTGCACATTTTTCTTCTTGTAGCGAATCAGGATTGTTTTTTTCGAGAGCACTCGCTGGAGTTCGGCCAAAGGAGGCACCTTTGGAGGAGGGGCGCCGGCGTCACCTAGCTCTGATAGGGCGCCGGGACCACGAAACGCAGCGCTGCTGTGGGTGTCAAGTTCCAGCCGATTCATCCACAGCCACGGTTTCATCGGCGGATTTGTGGTGACGCCAGCCCACAACGGCCATGCCGTGTCGACATAGTCCGCAGCCTCTCTTGGTGACCCGTGAGTAATTCCGTCTAACAGCTGTTCCTTGGCACCTCTTGCGGCCTGCATGAGCCGGCTGTGATTCGGGTTGGACCAGGGTTGATTTGCTGAGGCATGCAGGAGAAGTGCCGCCCAGGGGTAGTTTTTCAAGGCCTTTGCAAACAGAGCAGATATTTCGGCGTCGGGCCTGCCGTCCACAATCGCAACCAGAAGCCGGCTGTAATCTAAACACACATCACTCGTGTCCTTGAAGCTTGCAGATTCCACTATCTCTCGCACCCCGTCCACGTTCATCTGTTCTGAAGCGATGCGTACTTGCTCGCTCCGGATGCCTTGGTTATCACTGGGGTTCAGGCACAGTAAAATGCGAGCCATGCCCAGGGCACTTGTGCCTCCGCGAGCGCTCCGCCCAGCTCGCTCCGCGGTGTCGAGGATGTGCATCATGGTGGCGAGAAGCCGCAGGAAAGGACGGTTGTCAGGGTGTCCCCAGGGCAGACGGTCGGGAGCGAGTTCGTCGTCTTCATGAAGATTGTTTTCATCTTGTCCTCGCCGCCGGTCGTCGCCTCGGTCTCGTCCTTGAGTGTCAACTACAACATCGCGACCCCCGCCAGCACTTCGACGCGCTGCTTCGTATGCGGCCTTCCACTTCTCGTTCGCTGCGCACCCAATCTCGATGCCCGCCTCGGCTTTGGCGATCGCTGATTCAAAAGACTCGGAAGCGGGCAACAATCGAGCCCCACCAGCACCTGCTGCGGATATCGTTTCGTGGTATTCTACAGCTGCAAGTACTCCATACGCGCCCACGCAATCGGGATAGACGTTCAGCGCTTCCTCTGCAAGGGCGCGACGGCGCGGCAGGGAGGTGTCGTGCCCGATGTAGTGGTAGTACAGCATCTTGGGCCGACCATAGTCTCCCAGCGCGACGGCCTCCTCGATGAGCCGGGTTGCGGTCACCTCTGGCGCAACTTCGATTGGTTCGTCGCCGATAACTTCACGCAGCATCTTTTTCTCCAGGTAGCGCAGAAGACCCGACGTCTCCAGTGGTGGCATCACACGGTCGTAAAACTCCTTGTTGAGCATAGCTTGCAGGACCGAGCCAGCGGCGTCTGTCGTGCCAGGTGGACTAGTTCCAGCAGCTGCACCAACGTCAACAACATCCAGCAGCCGCGGATATCGCTGCAGTGCTTCCCAGACATTTCTAACGTGGAAAAACAGTCCGTGTGACAAGATTCCGATGTGTTGGTCTTCCATTCCCATAGCCATGCGCGCAAAAGGGTCCTCCTGGCTGCTTGCGTTTGCACGAGTTTTTTCCGCAGCTTTGAACACCTTCACCAGTGGCTTTACGAGGGATAAAACAGTCCGCGGCGAAGCGCTCTGACAGATGGCCAGGATTGCCGCCATCGCACTGCCTTTCGCATCGTCGTTGCCTCTACTACTTCCTCCTTTTCCGAGCCGGGCCGCGTTGCGCATTTCTTGATGACGCCCTGCCGGATCGAACATATGATCATTTTGTTTCAGAACGCCGTCGATCCCTCCGTCAATAAGGATTCTCTCATGAAGGAGCGGCGCCGAAGCAAATAGTGGCGTAGTCGCGTTCTGGGTGCTGCCACTGCTGCTGGATGAAGTAGATGCTGCAGCTCCTGTGTATGGAGTTTCCTCCATCCAATGGCAAGCGGCTCCACCGACGATGCGTGCAGCAATTTTGGCTAACCGGGACCGAATGTCGCTCGGTGACAGAAGTGCGCAGTGCGTAGCAAGGGGTCCAGTGTTCATCACAGTGTTGGCAGCCTGCAGCGCGAAGTTATCGTCTGCCGTGCGGAGGAGGCTGCAGTGCGGTTTTGCCTGTGCCGCCCACTCCATTGCCTTCTGGATGCTACCCATCATATCATTTTTGAAGGGGAACATCTGGGAGATAACCACGAAGCGGTCGCACGGCGGGGGAAAAATTTTCTGCAGTTCCGCCAATGGAAGGTAATAGCGCGAAGTCGACGTCGCAGCGGACACGGCGGTATGGAAATTAGAATTTCCCGTAGTTGATTGTAGTGTACTAGAAGCTGAAGCTGGTGTCGTATCTTCAGGTCCAATCTCCCTTAGCTGCGGTGGAGCGAGTTTTGTAGCTGCTGCTCCGTTCGTTGTACTGCGAGATGAAGCATGGCCTTTCGTGGCGAGACTTAGTTGATAAGCTGCGCCGCCCTTCCCCTTCGCGACACTGCCTGGCTCAGTTGTACTTCCGGACTGTAGCACCTCCCCTGTTGGACGTCTAGTAGAGACAAAAATGTCATGTTTCGCCGTCCTCACCGACATCCGGCTATCCACTGGGTTAATCAAGTAGCAATCGCGTTCGCCCGTCCCCCATCCGGCGTGCACAAGAAGGTAGACGCAATTATGCTGGTCAATCCTGAGTCCTTCCACGTATGCGCGGTTGTGAAAGCGCTTCAAATCGCGCAGCCAAGAAACTTTGAGGAAGTTGTCCTGCAGTTGCTCCACCGCGTGTTTGAGTTGTGACAGATTTTCACCAAGAACGCCCACGACGCCGGTCGCAAACGAGTTCAGCTTTTGCGCCGTTTCCGAAACGGTGCTTTGCAGTCGCGCGGCCATGCGTGACACCATTTTAATTGGATTCCCGAGAAAGCCGAGCGCGAGCCTACCCGTTGAGCGTTCACTCCAGGCGAACACGAGGTCTCCGGAAGCGGTCACGGTCACGGCGTGCATTGGCGGAGGATGGGCTGTCGTGTGCCGGCCTGCAATCCTGTCCCGCAACCAGGCAGCGAGGTCAGGACACTCGGACTCGTCCTTGATGCTCACAAGGAGGAGCCTCTGGAGCTCGAGCACTTCCCCACTTGCAAAATCGAACAGGGGCCATAACCTATGCGAATCTGCGAAAAACGCCGGGGACCCGCACGGCAGAAACACACAGCCTTGTGTATTGCAGATATCGTCAAAGGAATCGGCGTCGGAGTCGGAATCGCTATCGAAGCCAGCGGTATCACCGTCATTTACTTCCTCGCACGAATTAAATGAGTCAGAGTCATCTTCTGAGTCATCAGTCTCCGTAGTCACGTATGCTCCTCCGGCGGCCCGGTCGTGGCGATGCCTTTGTCGACGTGGTGAACGAAAAACATGACGCCGCTGTCTGCCGCTCGTCCCTCCTCGTCCCAGTAGAAAATTGGTCACAACATCGGTTTCATTCGAGCGTGCCGGAACAAAGGTCTGGGTGAACTCCATTGTCTTCAGCGTGACAGTGTTGGCAGCGGTGACTGTGACAAGACAACCGGATTGCTTGGTGTTGTTGCTTGATGCGGATGTAGCGCACGGAGCCGGTTTTGCTGCGGCGTCAAGAAAAACGACGGACTGCGAGTTGCTTTTGCCAAATTGAAGACCAGTAACACGCGGCCACCGCGCAACTCCGCATCCCCGGTGTGGCACCTTTGTGGGAGCCCTTCTAGTTTGCGTCCATGCTGTACCGTTCGGCTGTACCTGTAGCTCGAACAAGAGCAACTCATCCTTAACTATGCAGAAAAGCTGGCTGGCGTCGTCGGAGTTCGGGTTAAACCCAAACCAACACGAGCTCCCACACAGTGGTGGGGCTGATCGGTAGTTAGTGCCAAAAGTTGAAATGTTGTGCGGCCCTTCAAGAACCACTGATGTTGTGTTTGGAGAGTTCTGCGGCCCCTGCCCGTCAGACGGCAAGATTGGCAGCGCGTCGAGCTCGATCGTGCGAATGCCAAATCCCGATGGTGCCACTGCAACACGTCTCCCGTTCGCAGACGGATCCAAATGTACCGCCCCACCAATGAGGCCAACACCCATTATGTCATTAACTGTTCCTATTAGCTTCGGCGACGTACCTGAAAAATCTTCCTGTGGCATGCAAGAATAGATTGTATAGGGTTCATTCTTCTTTCAGATCAACTTTAAGTTCAACATCACTTCTCGGCAAAAAAAGATCAGCTAGTACCTTTAAAATATCCGGTAAAAAAATTTTCGTGGTCCGAGGAGTCTTTTTTATTTCCGAAAGCAATTCGTACGAGCTGTCGTCCTGACGGAAATTCATAAAAAACCGGAAGTTCGAGTCTGTGTAGCATGGCGAGTCGGCGACGGGCAAGCCGGGCCTCTTGTTCAGAGAACGGCATGCGACCACCCTTCGGTCTCGTGGCACCCTCGTCTTCTGTCGTGTCTATCAAACTCTGCAGCTCCAGGGGACAGACTGCTTTGCAGGCGATCGCGATGCGCGCCTCCGTCCACTCCCGTCCAATAGTACTGAACCAGTCAACCTTAACCGTGTTGCGTGCGCGGTCGCTGTCGGAAGCAACCACTGGTGAGTACGCAGGAAGTTCACTTTGGCCGTTCAACGTCCGTCGTATCCACAGTAAATTTCCCGTACATGACGGGACATACAAACGCGGTTTCCGCGTTATATACTTTCTTTCAGTGCTTGTGCTATTCAACAGCATGACAAGTGGCTTGATCGAAGTTGTTGAAATTTGTGATGCATTTTGTTGTACGTGGTGTGGAGGATGTACAGAAAATTATTTGTATTGCATACGCCGCGTCCATCCTTCGTCGATGCGGTCCTGGAGTTCCCGTCGAATCCGCCAGCCGAACATGCCCGCCATGTTCTGCGGCGAATCCTCGCCATAGAGAGCAAGGGCCCGTAAAAGGTGATGGAGCTGCAGCTCGAGGTGTGGTCCTCCGTCCTCAGGACCAGCATCCAGTGGATAGCCGCAGCTTTTCGCAAGCTTTGCCCATTTGGGAATGGCGCCGAGGGCACTGAGGTGTTTCACGTGCGGACAGCCACGTGGCAAGCCTCGGGGATCCACCTCGCCGCCGCTCCACTCTAGCATCGGCAGCGACTGCACAAACGCACCGTAGTCAGCGGGCTGGATCAGGAAGTTTGCGCCAACTTGACCGCCCTGGAAGCCACCTGGTCCACGCGTTCCGTCACCGCGGGCGCCGCGCAGGAGGGATTGGTGTTCCAAACACTGCTCGCGATGGCCACGAAGCGCGTGTTCCGAGCGGCACTCGTTCTTGCAGTACACCGCCAAACCACAGCCGTCGCAGACCACTGGGGCCGCTACCGCGTTCTTCGAACAGAAGAAACACTCCACATACGGTAGCGGCGCAGAATACAACAGTGACAAATCCGGATCGACCGCCATGATTCTTTTCCTGTGATGAGGAGGTCGTACCGCAATCTACTGAAAATAAAATAAGACAGGTTGATGGTACAAAAAAGAAATCTGTCACTCTTTCAATAATATTCAATGAAACCAAACGCGAAGACATTTTCATACATGAAACTTCACCAGAGCAAAGCTGTAGTAGAGCAACAGCAACACCAACATGCGGCGTGAAAAATGTTGAAATGTGACGGGATGGCACCAGTCAACTGGTGATCCTGCTCCTGCTGGGTAGATTCGTGTCGCACCTTCGAACACCACGAAGTCTCTGTCTCAGCAGCACTCTTTGGGAGTTGTAAATTGAACAAGAACCAGAATACCTTTTACATAGTATTATGATCTGCAATCTTCCGGCGAACAATTCAATTTCTCGTGCAAATCTTAATCTTTGATGGACATGCAGGTGCATCTCGACCTCAATCCGCACCTTCATGTATCTTCCTGCACATAGAAAGAAGGCAACCAGCTCTCTCCTTCGAGGGGAGCTATCTGCATCTGCAAGGCACAACATCGCACCAGACGAACACGAATAGGCGGCCCGCCACCTGTAGACACTTGTTTGCAATGGCGTTGCCACGTTCTACACGTAGTATTCCAAGAAGTCATCAAACGGCAGCAGAGCAACCACCTTGTAACCGAGCATTTGCATTGATGTTGAAGCGTCAAAATTCATCATCTCTAATCATCTTGCTCTTCTTGGTTAGTACTGCTCGTTCGCATCACCAGAATCACTTCTCTCGCCTGCGTTGTCGTTCTCCTCCTCGGTGTCGTTCTCTTCCTCGCTATCGCTTCCGTTATCACTTTGATTTTCTCCTTCTGGAACATTCAAAAGCCGCGCCAGTGCCATGGCAGATTCAAAACGCACCACCTCGTCGCTGTCCCTGCGAACGCTAACAACGACCCTGGCCTTTCGTACCTCGAAAGCGGCCGCGGAATTCTTCGCGTGGCTGTCACACACTTGCAGAAACTCCTCAGCGTTATGCTGACTGGCATTCGTGTGTGCAAATACTCCGGTAACGGCGCCCATGACCCAGACGTCGGCCCGGGCGCTTGAAAGGTTTGAAAATTGTACGCATTTTAAGTGGATGGCCGCGGCGGCAACGCCTGCTGTGGCCAGTGCTTCCCTTTGGCTTCGATCATCCTTGTACAGGTGGCTGTCTTCACGGTAGAGGACCCGATCGGACCGCGTCAGTACGAACTCACTGTACCTGTGCTCGGGGGGGTCTAATCCAGACACCCGCTCGACGTCATCGAGATGGGCGTGGAGCGAACGGCCACCAATGCTCTCACCACGATCGTTCAAAACCGCAAACGAAAACTCGAGGGCGTGCGACCGGCCGAATACATCCGGCTCTTTCGTGCCAGGAAACGCTGTTCCGATCGGAAGCGTTAGTTTTTCTATCGTTCTTCTCGCCTGCGGCACCGTGTACGCAAAAAAATAATTCACCTCATGCGCCAACTCTTGTCTTTTGACTTCGCAGGGTACTAAATAATGATGGCGCATTGTCTTTGCCTTCGCGTCCCAATAACGAATGGCGAAAGGGAGAGCTCGCTTCGCGGCCTCGGTGAGGCGCGAGACGGCCCCGCTTGCATCCAGCTTCTCGCTCCGCGTCGGCTCCGTGTCTCGCAAAAAGCTGAAAATTTTGAGCTGAAGTTCCACAGGCACGTGGAGGACCACGGGTGAGCTATTGCTGCTCCCCCGGTCTTTTTGTTTTTTCTCGAAAGACACACACGCTGCCTGAACCGCGCGAGCGTTGAGAGTGCGATAGTTTCTGGGTTCGATATTTGCAACGGCCGCATCTTCGAGTCTCCTGTACTCTGCCCTGTGGTACTCTTGCGCCGCTTCATCGGCCACTGATGGAGCGGGACGACCAGGGTGCATGGACATCGTGTTGAGTTTGATTCCGCTTTTTGGTGCCAGCTCGTCCTCACAACTGGTGTGAAAGCCTTGTACGATAAAATAAGTTTGATCTTCATGTGTATGAGTATGTAGCAGCGTATACTTAGCAACTGTGATAATTGTGAGGAAGAGAATCTTCATCTTCATATCATCTCCTTTAGAAATTAATAGATGGTGTATGTCGTGTAGGTTTAAGTGTGGTTCTCAAGAGATCTTCATTGTAAACAGCATCAGGAGACGAACAGGAACATCAGCAACGCGGGCGGCTTGGAGGCTGCAACATCAGGAAAGTACAATTCTAAGACTGGTGCGCCAGTAGTGATCGCGTTCTCCTACATGGCTTTAGTCACTTGTCTGCAAAGACACGGCAATTAAGGAGCGCCGCGCAGTTGATAGGTATTGGTATTCATGGATATTAGCTAGGGCCAGGACTGAAATCTAATCAAACAGTAGTCGCGCTACTTGTATGCTTGTCTCCACGGGTAATATTTCGTCGCTCCTGCGTCTTTCCTCTACTTTCAGTACCATTTATATTGGTCTTCCGATTCAAAAAGCCAAAGTGAGCTTCTTCCACTGAGTCACAGAAAAAAGCGCAGACGCTAACGTCTGCGGTTTTTCTCGTCCTCGAATAAGAACCCTATTGGTTCTACAACTGCTCCTTCGAACCCTCCGGAAAGGGCAACTCCGAGCCGGTGCCGCCAGTAGTGCCGTAGCCGTTGTTCTCGGACGGCTCGCTGGACGAGATGCTTGTTCCGCGCAACGACGTCGCACCTCCGTGGCCATCCTGATTCTCGGTCGCCGGGCCGGCACCAGCATCACGCACGGGTTCGCGTTCCTGCTGTTCGTTGATCGTGGTTCTTTCGCCGTGGTCCTCGCCGATCACCGTCGCGGCCCCACCGTTCGTCACTGTGTCGCCTTCCTCACCAAACTCCTTGATCTGGGTGAAGGCTCTTGGAGCAGCCCGTTTCAGCTCCGCAACCGCTTCTCGGATAGCGCGGTCTGCGTCGTGTACTGCACCACGGTTTCCGTCATACAATCTGCTGCAGGCGCCGAAAAACTTCGACTTTCTCAGCTTATTCCTCGCGTTTTCTACTTCTCTCCACGGTTTTTAAGACCTTCGTATCGCACCTTTTCGGCGGACAGTTTTTTGCTGGTGTTTGTGAGCATCGTTAGTACCTGCGTTAGGTTGTTTAACGCGCGGACTTTTGTTTTGCAAAACTCCCTTTCTATCGCCTCCTCTCCAGGTACAACGATTTCCATTCCTCCAAGTTCACTGGAATCCGAATCCGAGTTGCGCTCCCCGCTACAGGACTTGAAGCACTTGCACAAAGACGCCCACATCCCGCCGTCACCGCGTTTATGCTGATCCAGTTCCAGATCGAGGAAGCTTGTCTCATCGCGGTCCTCATCTTGTCCATTTTCCCGGCCGCGCGCGTCTGGATGCGGATGGCCCTGATCCTCGACACCGCCAGCGGCTCCGATTTCCTGCTCAGACGGTGCGAACGGAGTATAATTCTTGTACTTCGCGCACTTGCCGTTTTTCATACACCAGCCTTTCCGTTCAAGCGCGGACGCTTCACCTGCAGTAAAGGAGGGGAAGTGCTGGCGTCCTCGCCGATCAATCTGAATCTCAAACAACAGCGTCCGAGGTCAAGTTTTACTTTCGGTGCAGTACCTCGCCAGAGGAAAGAAACTTCTAATAGCCCAGCGCGGCATTCTGAATATGAATTCTCAGAATTGCAAATAAAAGTTGGAAGCAGGGCAGAAAAATAAAACAAGAAGAAAACAGCTTTACTCACCATTTCCATCCGTATCGGCTCCACCGCGAAGAAACAGTTCATTCGCTACCGATTGGAAAATCAGCAGAAGAGCGGACATGGAGGTCATTTGTTTGTTTTTCACGAGCTCATGGACAAACTCCGCGGTCAGAAAAGATTTTTCCTCCGTTCCCGTCGCAGCGTTCTTTTGCGTGAAAGCGCGTGGGGTCGGGGGGGGGGGTGCTTCTGCTTCCCCCGTTGTTCGTGGTCCGGGACCACGACCGGGGGCTCCTCGAAATGAGAACTCGAGAGAGAAGAACTCATATCGGTGTCGATGGCCGCTTCCTCGTTAAAATGTTGCCCTTTGTCATGGTTCTCCGCCGCGGACCCGCAGACGGACAGTGCCACAACGTACAACGCCAAGCACTTCTTCGTGACGGTTTTGGATATGGGTATGGCCCGACGAGCAGGTGTTACTTATGAGATGTCGAAGCTTTCATCAATTTCATCGTCGGAGGGTGGAGCAGCGAGCGCCGCCCTGGCTTGTCATGTATGAAATTCCAACATACAACGCCACAGTGCTTTAGATCTTTATTGCAGCGGCTCCAAGTGCAAATCTTTTTTCGTTGTCTTTCTGAACCCCGTCATTCTGCTGGTGCGCAGGTGCGCATCACAGAAAGAAAAGACTTATAGATGATTTACATCTTCTTCTTCATACAAGCGGAAGGACACCCACGGCAATCCTCGTAGAATCAAAAGCGCGAATGAGCCGAGGGCAACGGCAAGGTTTTGTCTATCGCATGACACTTGTTGCGATTGCGCTGAGGATGATGGATGGATGGCGGTGGTACGAGAAAACAATCGACGTAACCACAAATAACACCTGCTCGGGCCATAACAAGGAGAGTCCTCATCTTTTTTTTGCTTCTTTGTGAAAGAAGGCTACCAAGATAAATCGATGTGGAAAAATGAAAAATAGCAATATGGACTTCTGTCGGTTTACTTCCTGGCTGTTGAGATGAAATAAAGCTCTGGCGGTTTTCCTGGGTTATTTGGTTTTCAGGTTTACTAGCATCTACATTTACTTCTATAAATCATTGAGTGCACGACCATTGCTTGGCGCACTGACTTCTAAATGATTGGCGCCTCCTGGTTTGTGATTGAAAAACTACACGTACACGAGATCCTTTTGTGCCTCTACTGGAAGAAGCAATTGACGGACTCTAAAACAGTGGATCTTGAAGGAATCTTGTGCAAAATAGATGCTCGCACTGTTGTGAAATACACTGGCGAAAACGCAAGACCAGAGGGAAAGTGCAACGTTCCGTCGTGGATAAGAACTGAAGAACTGTGCTACAATGTTGAGTACATATACGATCAGGCTCAGGTCGTGGACCGGGACCACTTCTGCTTCCAACAGGAGCATAATAATCGACTGCATCGTGATCGTGATGTTCGTGAGATCGTGACATTCGCTTCGTGGCTGCCACAGCCGGATTTGTATAATTTTTTGAGTACACCGAACACAAGACAAGTGCCAGGCCCTGATGAGCATCAACGCGGCTCGTTGTTCACAGATGAGTGACAAGTGGCCAGGCGAAGCGAATGCTATTGCGGAGCCCCACGGTGTATTGAACTTAATGCAGCTTCCGCTGTTTCTATTTTGTGATTGTCCTAGAAGTAATCGCAATATTGATGTGAAACGCACCTGCGCGAAGATGTATATTGTATGCGGAGACATGATCAACATTATGGCTTCGTATTCATGCTACATCGATTTCATTGCGGACTCGGAGATAGCCACTGATGTAGTGATGAAACCTCGGGCGATTAGCACGGTGGTAGTTCGGTTCCGGTCGTCTCTCTCAGGCTTTGCCTCGTAAGAAACCGGATATCCACCGCTACCACGACCGTTTTGGTTTTTACCACTGCAGCTTTACCCGTTTGTCAATCGTATCTACGAACGCGATTTTTCCAATGACAAACACATCCGCTTCTTTCGCCAATTCTCCCGCCAAGCTTTCCGGCAACGCGAGCAGCAGCCCTCCCGATGTTTGCGGATCGATCAGTGCGAAGTCCGGCGTTGCAAGCTTTGTCGTTTTGGTGTTTGTCTCTACTCCCGCAACTGCTCCTCCAGGTACTATTTGTCCGAAAGCTTGGTGCTCTCCTGCACCGCTGAGTTTCAAGTTTTCGATTTCGTGCGCTACCAGGGCGAGATTTTTTGGAAACAGTGAGGAAGCCACACCCTCCGCGACCATCTGCAAGGCCCCGTGGAGAATGGGAATTTTGTGCATGTCGAGCTGCACTTGCAAATTTCGGTTGGTTTTCCGCGTCATCTCGAGCAAATGCCCGAGCAACCCAAATCCGGTGATGTCCGTGCAGGCGGACACGGCGAATTTTCCGGGATTGTATGGATTGCAAAACAAGTATCTTCGTGCTAGTTCAAGAAATTGCGTATACAGATTGATGACTCAGCATTACAAATGGAATTTGTAATGCGGATTTACCTGAACAACTAGATTTGTAAATGCATACCTACAAAAATCAGTCGTAGGGGTACGATACTTGTTGTTTTGCAATGCATAGTTTGTTGTCCGCGACGATGCGCTGGAGAATGCGCACCACGTCGGCGGAGTTCGTTGCCAGCATGCTTTTCAGGCAGTTTTGCCACACGTCCCCGCTGCAGCAGTTCCGCATCACGCCCGCCTGGATGATCCCTGTGCCGAGGGGTTTTGTCACCACGAGCACGTCGTTTTCCTTCACGACGCCCTTCAGCCAACAGGTGGAGCTCGGGTTTGCGGACATGCTCTGTGCCGCGTTGACCGTGAAACCCAGGCTCAAGTCGCCCTCGATCGTGTATGAATAGCAAAAGTTGTCTCTTAGTAGTTGTAATTGCAATACAAACATTTAGCATGACAGAGGCAATTTGTCGTGCTGATTTTCCTTGAGAAGGAGACTTCGACTTGTCATGCATAATTACAATTACTACGAGTGCGACACTTGTTTTGCAGAGGATAACGTGTGTCCCCCGACGATCGGGGTGTCCGGGCCGAAGGCGGACTTCGCCCCGGCCAGCATCATCGCGAGGTTATGCATTGCAAAAGTATCGTACTATAAACTCGCATCACAAGTTTTAATTTTGGCAAGAAGAACACCAAAAGTGAGATTTGTAAATGTAAAAAATGCTGATTCAGGTTGGAAAAGATACTTGTCATGCGTGACTGCAATTCTATACGAGAGAGTGCGATACTTTTGCAGAGCATAGAGGTCTTGCTGCTGCAGCCTCTCCGCGCCGAGCGGAACCGAACAGGTGGAGAGCGCGCTGATGTGCGTCTTCTGTTGCCCTTTGCTCGAGGAGGAGGTGAGGAACGACGATGGTGAGGAGCCAGAGCTTCGCGTTGAAGAACTAGCGCTATCCGTATTCACCACGCCCATCGCAATCACGTCGGACAAGGAGTGGAGGGCCGCCACCTGGTATCCACAGTAAATTTCCCGCACACCTACACGTACAAATGCAGTCTCTGCATGACAAAATTGGGCTTCGATCTTAGTGTTGACTAGAGCTTTATGCACACAGCATGCAATGCGTGTTCAAGCTCCCCTGCGTGGTTCCATCGATCTTGATCTTCAGCACAGTAACGATCCTAACCGTTTAGCTTAGTCGTCTCGTCGTCTTTGTGGTCTGGTTGACCAAACCAAACGAATCAATCCATCTTGAAACACCACCTGTATACAGATGTGAATCAGTACTCCGTTCTGAATCATTCCAAACAGAAAGATGCGAACTCGACCGCTATTCGTATGCTGTGAATGTGTTCAGAATTCCTAACATTCTGATTCACACTTGGTGCCGCCGGTGAGACCGGTAATCGCGAGCCAACGAACAACTTCGCCATCCACAAGTCCAAATTTTTCCGTCGGAACACCATCGGCATCTACACGCAAAAATCTCTCTTTGGAATAGATTGATTTACGAATCCCGACGGTATGCCGACGGTAGATCGGAAGATCATCTGCCCGGAGATAAAGAACTCCGAGGGCTGGACGATGTGGAAGCATAAAATCAAATCGATGATGAGCATGGTATTGGAATTGGACGCACAATGGCAGGCAATTTTGAACGACAACACCCAGCAGACGAACTTTCAAAATGTTCAGCCTGGTTTGACAGCACAGCAAAAGCAAGATGTGTTTTCCCTCGAGTCCACGTTTTTGAATGCATTGCAAGACGACGCAGCAAAATTGATCACGAACAGCCAGACAGTGGGTTTTGTAAAATGTTACTTCCTTCTGTCATCGCACTGGGATCAGAAAGCATCTTCAATTGACAGTGACACAACCAACAACGAATTGATTACTGTCTGCTACGACATGGAGAAGGATGGAGATTTTTCTATTTGGATCTACGCAGAAAAGTACAGCAAAATCCTCCTTCTGAAAGACAGATACCCAGATGCGGCTGCGATCAATCGCCAGATGTGGGACGTCCTCAAATTCCGACTTGACCCGACTTGCATGAAAACAATCATGGCGGAGATCAGAAATTTGAACAGTACTACAGCTACTTGGGAGAAAGAAGGACTGGCAATGGTGATGGACTTCATCAAATCAGGCAGAATGAATATTGAAAAGGAACAGCAAGCGACTTTGCATTTAGCACGAACGAACGTCGCCCCCGCAAACGCAAACCCCAATGCGTTCCTTGCTGGTGCATCATCATCATCTTCTTCTTCTGGTAACAAAAATTCCAACTTCATCGTCGCACCGGAAGGCGCGACCTTCGAGCAGCAATTGATGTGTCAGTCCATCAATAACCAAACCGCCTTAGTTATGATGAATAAGGGTCACAAAGGACAGGGAAAACACAACAACAAAAACTACAATTCCAATACCTATGCGAATCGAAATCAGCCCTATGGTAACAACGCGCAGAATCAAGGAGGCCTCTGGTGTACGTATTGCCAACGTCCAGGACATGACGTTCATTACTGCTATCGCAAGAAACGCCAGCAGGAGAAGAACACTGCCCCACCACCCGCGAACAACTACGGCAACAACCACAAGAAGGGCGGTGGTGGTGGCAAGGGCGGTGGCAAACACGGCGTGAAGAAAGGTGGCTACAAGTCTCACCAGAAGGGTCGCAAGTGGTGACATAAGGACCACGATTCTGCTGATGATGTCGATGATAAATCGATGCTGATGGATTCAAATCACGATGTGAAAATCGATGCTGAGTTGGAATCAAATTTCGTTGATGTGTCGAAGAACACTGATGAAAAGAGCGATGTATTTGATGACGACGACAACTACTATTCGTGCTTTTACACAAGTCACGATGCTACTAGTTACAATCAAAAATCGTTACTGTGCAAGATCGATCAATCAATGCCGATTATAGAGTGCAAGATCAACAAATCCATTTTGGATGAAGGTTCGGCAGAGGAAAGAAAACAGAGGACAAACAGGGATATCCTCGACAGTGGCACTACTCATTACGTGTCGAGTGTGCTTAGCGATTTTGTGTCCTTTCGCTCCAATCCTGTGAAAATCAATGGAGTCGGAGGCACTTTGCAAGCGAAAAATCCTCCAAGGATAGGTAGGCTGAAGACGAATCGACTTGGTTACTCAGTAGGTATTTTTCACAGCGCTTTGCCCGTGCGCCGCCTTTTACCTACAACCACCCTGAACGCAATGGGTTGGTCAGTAAAGCTAGAACCAAAAGCAGTAGCCAAGTCTGAGATAGTTTCAAGATTCGCAGATGTCGCAGTGCCATTAGAAAATAACCCGCCTGACTTACCATTTTTGCCTGATGGTGAGCTTTTCGGCACGGGTGTGGCTTTATACTGCAGAGAATTTGAAGAGGTTTTGTCAGAGGAAGACGCTTTGTCTGCGTCGCGTTTTGGTTGCAATCTTTTCACACCTGATTGCTTATCCAACTGCTGCAAAAAGCGCCGCGTAGGACAGCTCGATGAGTCTGCTTCTATTTTCACTGGAGATGCCTTGGCCGACTGCGTAGAGGATTTTGAGCATTTATGCTACTTGTCCAAGTTAGACCGACACCGAAGACGTGGCCACATCCATGTCCCAGGTGAAGAGGTGTTTTGCCCTGAATGCGCCCTCGCAAAGGGTGGCAGGTCAGGTGCTAGGAAAGAACGACCACAGAAGTACTCTGATCCAACACCGCTAAAGCAACTTGATGCTGACTTTTGGGGTCCAGTCAAACCCGTCAGCTTGACAGGCAATTCATGGCTATTGATTTTCATTTGCCCTGCTGTTGCGCGTGTGTTTGAGTTCAAGTTGAAGCACAAAGATCAGGCCTACGCAGTCGTAGAACGGCTAATCAAGCAACTTCGCGCATCGGACAGCATCGACTTGACAGATAAGGTCGTATGGTTTGTCCGCAGTGACAACGACCCCACGTTCAGAGCAAAGAAGTGGGAGGATACGCTCCAAGCGCTCTCCGTTTTTCGGCAGCACTCAGTCCCATACGTACCACAGAAAAATGGTGTGTGCGAACGCTTCATGGGTACTCTGGGTCCCGGTTTAAGGGCTAATCTAGTGGGTGTCGACTTGAGACTTTGGGATTATGCCGCTTCTTACTTTGTATACACGTGGAATCGCTTACAGCGGAAATTCTACAAGCGCGCCCCTCAGTTCAATGGTCTCTCACCTTTGGAAGCTTGTCGACAGAGGAAGTCACTGCAAAATGACCGGAAAGTTTCTCGCACAGAACCCCAAGAGCCCGATGAGATATTGAAGACTTCGAATTTTGACTCCAGGATGCGTCGCTTCGGTTGCCTCGCTTATTTCCTGAGACAGCCAGTAGAAGGGGTCAAGAAACTTGTAGAGAAGTACACGAAAGGAGTCTTTCTTGGGTATTGCGATCAGTCCTCGTGCTATCTAGTTGGAACTTACGTTAAGGATGATCGATACTCCAAGGCCGGCGCTTTGCGCTGGGCAGTTTACGAAACAAACGCCGTGAAGTTTGTCGAGTCAGTTTTGATCGACAATGTTGACTCTCTACGCCCAGGGTACCGCGGTGGCGTCGTAGTTTCAGACGACCAGCTCCTGCAGACTATCTGTGGCTCGAAGGACAATGCCCGGGTGGTTGGTTCTGATCGGGATTGTGCTCCTGTGCGCAAAAATCCGGGTGGTTCAGAGGTCTCAGGTTCTGGGGGGGTTGGCGGGTCCAACTCCCTGCCACTTTTAGAAGTCGAGAAAGCAGCTTCACAAGAACACGCTCATAACGCATCCTCTGCCTCGTTCAAAGACATCAATCTTCAGTCAAATCAGCATGCCAGTGGTGACAATTCGCAAGTACAAAATCCGCATTCCGCACCTGATTCAGTTTCATCGCGCGCGCCCGCCCGGAACACGGTTGAACACCATGAGCCAGACCCTGAAGTGGTCTTTGGTCGCGAAAAGACCAAGCGCCCGCGCGGTAGGCCCAAAGGGGCAAAGGACAAAACGCAACGCACGCGAAGAACAAAGCAGCAATTGTCCGAAGCCGAGAACTCAGATGCGTTTTATGCCGACTTTGCAGAAGTGATCAATGATTGTTATGTATGTGACAGCGTCGTAGACGATTTCGAAGAGGGTGAAGAGTTAGTCGAAGCACTTCCACAGTTCGCGAACGTTGCCGCGATGAGCTCGCCAGATGCGCCGCACTGGTTAGAAGCCAAATCCCTCGAGAAGTGCAAGCTTGAGGCGTTTCAGACGTGGAGAGTGCCTACTCCAGAAGAGTTAGAACGCGCTAAGACCACAGGCGTGGTCCCGATAGCATTGGTGCTTAGCCGCAAGCGCTGTGGCAAGTTCAAGTGCCGTGCTGTCGTCCTAGGTAATCTCTACAAGCCCGGCGGTGAGTTAGAAGTTTACGCGCCCGTAATCAGCTTTGGAGCCTCGCGCTACCTGCTGATCGATGCCGCCGCGCATGGTGATGCCATAATTTTGTTTGACATTGACAACGCATTCGTACAGAGCTTGATCGATTCGGAAATTTTCATTCGTCTGCCAAAGGAATGGCGTGAGCAAAACGACGATGGTATTCGGAAGCTAGTTCGTGCCCTTTATGGGTTACCACAATCCCCGAGGCTGTGGGCAAAGCACTACGAAAAGAAGTTAGTCAGTCTCGGTTGGACACAGTCAACAGAAAAAGGGTTGTGGAGAAAGCTCTCCAAGGCCACAGGCAACAACTTCCAGAGTTACAAGAAGTTCAGTAAGTATATGAAGATGGGAGTTTATGTAGATGACAACACCGCAACAGGCCCGGACGAGCACGAGCTTAGGCATGAAGTCAGTTTGATTTTGAAAGAGTTTCCTGGCAAGATCATTGAGCCCGAACACCAGCCAAATGGTGATCTTTTGTATGATCAGCTCGGTGCAGACGTCCACTACAACCCGAACAAGTACAAAGTACGCATTTGCATGCAGAGTTACATCCGAACAAAACTAGCTCCGAAGTTTGGCATGGTTGGTTGTAAGAAAGTTGACAATCCATGCTTCACCGAATCAGCTCTGTACGATACCGCCTCGCCCGAAGTGAAATTCCCGTTGCGGGAAGCTGTAGGTGCCCTGCAATGGTGCGTAACGATTTGTAGGCCCGACATCGCGCAGCCCGTTAACTGCCTCGCAAAGGTAGCAAGCAAGCCCTGCACCAAAGCAGTAGTCGCATGCGTAAAGAAAGTTTTGCGCTATGTCATTCACACCGAAGACGTAGGCATCGACTACTCACCCGAGAACGAACAAAAGTTCAAGCAGGTATACGGATCACTTCTGCAAAAGGGAGAAAAGTTGAAAGACTGGAATCTCTTCACCGACGCAAGTTTTGCATCTTGTTTTGTAACGTTGAAAAGCACGTCTGGCGCTCTGCTGTACTACAGAGGCGCCCCCATCGTGTGGAAGACCGCGCGCCAATCGGTCAGAACGCATTCCACATTCGAAGCAGAGTTTGTAGCTGGCTCTGATGGACTGATCATGTCCGAGACATGCACCTTCAAGGGTTTTCTTGAAGATCGCGATGCTAGCGAAGACCTTTGGATGGACAATCAGACCGCCATCACGGTCGCCAAGACGCCAGGCGATGCACAGCGCCCGCGTAGCCGCCACGTTGCCCTGCGCTACCACAAAGTTGCGGATGAATGCGAAAAGATTAAGTTCTGTCCCACTGAGCACATGAAAGCTGATTGCCTCACAAAGAACAATGTGCCTCGTGAGGTTCGAGATCACGTCTTCCACCACAATCCGCACATGACGAACAAGAGGAAAGTGAAAGTGTCCGAAGACCCTGAGGAGGTCGACGCTTGTTTCACTGTGGTAGGCGTGCCCGGTCTCTTCTTTTCACTTGAAGACCTTTGGGCTTAGAAAGGAACTTGTATACGCCGGAGCCCCTTGCGCTTTTTCATGCCGTAGCCATCCTGATCGCTTTTGAAAGAAAAACTTGTGATCCACCATTCTGCTTTGCTTTTTCATTGCAAGCTTCTGGTGGTGATTTTGTCGCACAGCTTTTACTTGCTGCGATTTTCGAAAAACGGCTTGCGCTTGGGGGGGGGAATGTTGACTAGAGCTTTATGCACACAGCATGCAATGCGTGTTCAAGCTCCCCTGCGTGGTTCCATCGATCTTGATCTTCAGCACAGTAACGATCCTAACCGTTTAGCTTAGTCGTCTCGTCGTCTTTGTGGTCTGGTTGACCAAACCAAACGAATCAATCCATCTTGAAACACCACCTGTATACAGATGTGAATCAGTACTCCGTTCTGAATCATTCCAAACAGAAAGATGCGAACTCGACCGCTATTCGTATGCTGTGAATGTGTTCAGAATTCCTAACACTTAGTTTAGCATGGCAAGTGTTACGCTCCGATGAATTGGTGAAATTTGTGATGCATCTAATTTGTATTGCATACCTGGCCGAAGACAAAGGGGTCCATGTCGAGCACTCCAGCTTTGAAGTAGTCCACTGTGTGAATCGTGCGCACATCTCCTGCGGCTAATTCAACCACCGCGCAGTCGTCTCCCGCGCCCTCTGTGACTTTCCCGAACGGTGCAGCTTGCTTGGCTTCTGTCTCGGTAGTTTTTGCGGCGGTACTACTGGGTAGTTGCTCGAGCCCCTTCGCAAGCACCTTGCCTCCGAGCTTGCACGCGCACCCCCCACACCGCATCGTCGGGTCGATGGCCTGCCTGTCGTGCAGAGAAAGGTAAAGCGCGATGCGCTCGGAGGTTGTAGTGGACGTTTTCGCACCATTCGGGAGGAGCAAACTGGCAAAAATCGGGTCTGTTTCAGCGTCGGGCAGCATCCTGGGTAGCCCGTCCTCGGAATATTGGCACATCCACTTCCGGTCAATCCAGTCTTTCAAATATGGATTGCAAAAGAAGTATCTGTATCGCGCTTACTTAGTATAAATTGCATGACAAATTATAATTTAGTACTCAGCATTACAAAACAATAACAATGCGGGTTTAAAAATACGTTGGCAAAAAAAATGTAACGCATATTAAACACAACTAGAGTCTTACGAGTGCGATACTTTTGCAGAGGATATCAACTGAAAAAGCCACGCCGCTCGAATCGCCAAATCATCGCCCCGACTCGCCATCGCCGTACCGTCGCAGAGATTGAGCAGCCCCAACCACTCGGTTTGGGGTTTGTACGATTCGTACTGCGGTGGAGGTGGAGGTAGAGAAGTTGGATTTAAAGGTGTCGCAACACTCCCGCTCTTCATCTCGCAGTGGAGCTTTAGGTTGTTGAACAGTGTCATTCCGGCCATCACCGCGAAAACGCCTGCTTTCGGCCTCTTGTAGCCTTTTATCGTCACGCAGTCGCCGGCGCCGAAAACGTCCGGGTTGGTGGTTGATTGCATAGAATTCGACACCAGCATCGTGCCATCCGTATCTTTTTCCAAGCCCGCCAGCTCTAAGCTGTCCACGAGGAATTTCGGGGGGAGGCCGCCGGTGCACCAGATGCAGTAGTCAAACGGGATTTTCTCCTTGTTTTTTACACCGTTGTCCCCCGCGACCAAGAACTTTATGCATTGCCAAAGCATAACTATCGCACGAGTGCCGTCGTCCGTACACCTACGAATTATGCGGTCTGAAATGACGGATCTGCTTTATGCCTACCTATTTCTGCAACTACATGACAAATTATTTCATATCTCTTTACGAGAAAATTATTTGAGATGATGCAAACTTCACTACATGCGAAGATAAAACTTCCTTTGCAATGCATAAACTTCTCGTTTCTCCGATTCGTCGACGACCAGGCGGAAACGGCGTCTTTAATAGGGCGGTTGGTCAACACCTTGACGCCCTTATGCATGTTGGCAAAAGTATCGATCTTGCTCTTGGGGCACTTGCATTACAAACTTGCTCAGCATGATAAATTCAATTTGTCATGCTAAATTATCTGAAAGCCCAGATTTGTAATACAGTTGTACTGCAATGAATTACTACGAGCACGACGCTTTTGCACAGCATATCCCTGCTCTTCCAACAGTTCCTGCACGAGCTGCCTTATCAAATGTAAAAGTGTCTGGGTCTGGAAGAATGCAACTTGTGATGCTGCATCTGCAGCATTATCCAAAAATCTGTATTGCATGAACAGCAAAAGAGGCCTGGTTTTGGCCACAGCGAGAGGGCATTTCTCATGCGGTATAGGCATCAGAACGCCCTCACAATATCTGTGATGCTAGGGCATGCATCGCAGACATCAGGAGTCAAGCAAAATGTGCATGACAAACCTCTCATCCTTCCAGACCCAGACATGTTTACATTTGATATGCCTCGCAGGCGCGCCGTGGCCGGGTAGGAGCTGCTTCCCGGCGTGGATCAGGGAGATCTCGATGCCAGGTGGAAGCGACGGACTTGAGGAGGACGTAAGAGCTCTACTGTTTGGTGAAGTAGTAGATTTCGACGCTGGTATTGTACTAGAAGTTGTAGAAACCCAGCTCGCACTTGCGGAATTGGTTTTCAACATTTGCAGTTGTGGAGATGTATCATTTCCTTTGATCATATAATTGTTTTTGCTGTTCACCACGCCCCCGCCGCCCCGTAATTCCACCTGTCTCTCCGCGATGACTTCCTTCAGCCTCCGGTTGCTTGCAAACGCCATCTCGACTCCCGCGGCTCCGCCACCAACGATGCAGATCTTCGTCGGGGTCGAGCTTTGGCTACTTGTCGCCGTGACTTTCTGCAAGATTTCCTCCCAGGCGACACTGAGTCCGTCGATCGGCTTTACCGCGGTGACGCCATTGGTGTTAGCGAAAGCGGGCTTGTCCGGAACCGACCCCACGTTGACAGAAATCACGTCAAACGCGAGGGGTGGCCGGGTGCTGGTGGGATTTATTTCGGCTTGCGCGGGATTGACGTCCAGCATGGAACTCAGGTTTTGTTTGCGGATTTTTCTCGTGAACATTCTGTAGTTCGACTTTTCATCCGGAAGTAGAGTTGTTGGCTCTCCTGCTGAGGGGACCACACCACCCGGGGACCCAACAATTATATCCGCTTTACTTTCCTGTTTCGAAGAAGCAGGCGAACCCGGAGCGGAAGCCGGTCTGACTCTTTCGAACATCTCGATATCCAGTGCATTTCTCGCTGAACTTCTTCCACCACTACCGAGTGGCGCTGTCGTTTTGAAGTGTACCTTCTTGCCCACAAAATCGATGTGGTCCACTTCCGCGACGATGAACCGCACGCGTGCGAACCTCGCCAGTCTATGGATCGCAAATATCCCTGGATGTCTGGAAGGAGACAAACTCGTGATGCGCATTTCAGAACAAAGAAAAATCTGTCATGCATAGGTAGCAAAAGCTGCCCACTTCCTGCCACCAAAGTGAGGGACTTGTCACGCGGTTTCGGCATTGCGGAAGCTTCTCGAAACCTGTGATGCTAGAGCTTCCATGCCAGACCTTCTGTGTCATGCAAAAACAGCATGAGTCTTCCACCAGACCCAGACATTTTTACATTTGATACAGTCGGAACAGATCCAAGTGCGCTTCCTCCTTCGTGTACATTCCCCCCACGTGGCCCGGAAGCATCCCGGAATACGGCGTCAGACAGGTCTTGCTGATCAGCGTCACCTATCAAATGCAAAAATGTCTGGGTCTGGAAGAATGCAACTTGTGATGCTGCATTTGGATGTCTAAAAAATTTGTGTTGCATGAGCAGCAAAGGGAGTCTAATTTTTGCTACCCGGAGAGGGCATTTGTCATGCGGAATAGGCATTAAGAATCCCTCAAAAAACCTGTGATGCTAGGGCATGCATCACAGACATCATGGCTCATACAAAACGTGCATGCCAAGTCTCAGAATCTTCCAGAACCAGACATATTTGCAATTCATATCACCCGAGTGTTCTGCAGCGGCTTCATGGCCAGCATTTTCAGCACGTGCACGTGCGAGTGGCCGTATCCAAGAAAAAAACGTTGCTAGTGTAAATTTGTGATGCTCAACATGCAAGATGATTGCGACTGTCATGCTCGGCATGCATCGCAGGGTCCATTAAAGGGCGTTTTCACGTACTATCTGCGCATGATAGGTTTTTGCTGTCATGCCAGACAAATTTGTAATGCTGTTCTTCCAAAAAAGTCACACCTACAATGTTTTTTTCTTGGATAGGCCGCCCCCAACGAGCAGTAGGTCTTTCACCGGCACGCCCGTTTCCTCGAACTTTTTGTTCATTTCCTCGGCCATGGACTGGATCTGGGCGCTGGTCCGTACGTGCTGCAGCGGGCCGCCCTCGTACAGCCAGGTGTTCGGAAACTTCATCACGTTGCACACCCGGTTCCATTCCAGCCACAGCAGGTGGCGCCAGTTCTTGGAAGACAACCAGTTTTGCAGGGAAAAGAAAGTTCGGTCATTGATGGTGCGGACCTGTAGTAGTTGTGTTGCGCCGTTTGGATCTTCCGATAGAGATTGGTCAGCAGCTCGTTTGTTCTCTATTCGCATCATGATCATGAAGAAGATGGAGCTGATGTTGGCATCTTTATCTATATTGCGTTTGGGACTCATCTAATTTCAAAAGCAATAGATCGGAGACAAGGAAGTCTACCACAAGAATCTCCAAAAGAAAAAAAACCTCTTTCCTCGGCTCTGGCAAGGGTAGCTTTTTCACAGCGCAAACTGGCCCGCCGTAAAACTTTCCATCCGACGTTCTCGGACCCCTTCCCGTTGCCGCCAGCTTGACGATGTAGGCAAAAGAGAAAAACGTCTCCTTCTTCTTCCATGCCTGGAGCACCATTCTGACCAGCAGGGCGGTCGTGACTCCGGCCAAGGTCACGTTGGTAACGAGGTCGACGGTCTTTTTTGACGAAGTAGGGTCGCTGCCGGTGCCGGTGTAACGCGACAGCATCTTGTTGCGTGCGCTCGATCGTCAAACTTCTGCGCAATGAAGAAGATGTTGAGCATAGGATTTTGTACTTACCGTAAAAATAAACTGTTTTAGCAAGAGGAAATGCAATTCCAATTTCTTCAATCAATCGTAAAATTTGATGGAACAATACATCAACCTTGTCATGAAACAAGTAAGTTCGTGCGTACGTCGAACAAGCTTTGACATCAAGGAACTGCGAAGTTGGTCATGGTAGACCGAGTTCAGGTACTTAGTACAGGCGGATCTTCTTCATCTCGTTGAATACAACCGAATAGTAGTGGATCTTCGCTGACCCTGACGCTGAGTAGTAGGTCATAGCGTTACAACCTCTCTCGTACGGCCGTGCTCGATGGCTACTTCGAAAAGCTTTCTTCTTGTTTCCATAACCATATCTCTCCTTGACAAGAATCTTTATGAGCATAGACAAAATTTGCAAGGCTGAAAGAACAACATCAGCCCCTGGTTGATGTGTTTCGTCTCCGCCTTATATTTTCGTTTGTACAAAAATACCAGGGCTGGTGCCATTTTTAACGGATGCGTGTCCGCGTGTCTTCGAAGTCAAAAGCAAAACGTCAAATTAGTCGTGGTGTTTGCATGACATTAACTATTGTAGGCGATTTATTTTTCACTGAAGTAGAAATGAGTTCAGTAATTTGATGCAGTGTAGTAGCACTCCCACTCCCACTGTAGGACCCTGCGGTCCCTGTCTACTTCTCATTCAGTCACTTTATCAAAGCTCCGCAATGGGTCCATCCGGCCCGAAACCTGGTGGGTAACTCCACGGACCAAAATCAGGAGGGTAGGTGTCTCCGGTGGTTTCGTTCGTCGTTAGGTTTAGCAGCGGCGCTAGTTCTATACACTGCAAAAGTATCGCTATCGCAATGGTATAAATGCACATACAAATTTCCTCAGCATGAGAAATAAGATCTGTAATGCAGATTTATCTTTAAGAACAAGATCTGTAATGCATCACAGCAATACGAGTACGATGCTTTTGCACAGCATAAGTTTCTGCATTTTGAACACGTCGCGGATGCGGGTGTAATCCTGTTTCAGAATCCCAAACGGCTCGGACGCATTCAACTTCTCCTGGCCGTCGATCGGCCAGTAGCTCCAACTCAGTCCCCGTTCTTCGAAATATTTCAAGACGTGTTCGAACCAGGGGTTTGCGGCGTCGTCCGCCCCAATCCCGAACTCCCCAACCCAAACGGGAGCGATGTCTTCCTTCACCAAATAGCCCCAATTCTGGTCGTATTCGTCCCGCAAGTCGCCATAGCTCTGCAGCTGCTGCTCGATGTGGCTGAAAACAAGTACAATTGCGGTCACAAAAATCGCCGCCACGACGGAGACACGGCTGCGAATCGGGGTGGTGACCAGGCGGAGGGCTTCCTCGGGGGAAATGAGCTCCCGTTCTTGGTTTCGTTGTTGTTCTGGTGCGCCGAGGGAGGAGGTAGTCGCGGTGGCGATGGCAGCGTCGCGCGCAGCTGGGTTTATTTCTTCCATCAACGAAGCAGAAGTCCTTACCGAGACCGGCTGCGCTACTGCAGGGGTTCTTGGGGACAATAAATACGAAGGTGTTGAGGACAAGGCTTCGCTGCTACCGGAGCTGGAAATTGTCGTGACCGACGGCGTTGAGACGAAAGAAGAAGTGTCTTGTCTATTTTGGTTGGAAGATTTGATCGTGAAAGAACCGGTTGCAGTATCCTCCTGGTCCTCTGCTGAACTTCGCTGCTGCTCAAAATCGTCTTCGATTGCTTGTTCCACTTCGGCATCCATTTGAGAAAGTCCTCGCGTTCTTCTTCTTCTTCCCTCTTGCTCATCGACAGGCGGGGGCCCAGCATCCTCCTGCCGCGCCCCGTCACTTCTGCTGCCCGTCCCAGTTGTGCTAGACGTGCACAGTGACAGAAACCGGTGCTGGACGTCCTCACTCGTGAGCAGATACCGCAGAACGATGAGAAACCAGAGCACCAAGGAGACCACCCCGAACAGTGTGGCCAGGACCACGCAAACCACGCCGACGACCTGGTACGTGATATTGCAGCCCCCGGAAAGCTTCTTCGTTGCCAAGGCGAAGAGGGGGATGAAACCCAGGGACACAATCGCCCACAAATATATATAAAGCAGGGGTTTGGTGGGGTCGCAGGGGTTATTTTTGTCTAGCGCCGGAAGAGCAGAACCGCGGGAGCCAAAGCCCTTCTGTCGAAGGAAGGCTGCGCGGTTTGGCCAATTTGGTATCCTACCCCAATTCCACTAATTTCATACCCTCACCCGATTCGCCTTCTTTTGTACCCTACCCCGATTTGGCTAATTTTGTACCCTCCCCGAATTTTGTACCCTATCCCGATCTCCCTAATTTTGTGCCCTAGCCCGATTTGGCAAATTCAGTACCCTCGCCGAATTGTGTACCCTATCCCGATTTGCCTAATTTTGTACCCTAGCCCGATTTGGCAAATTCTGCACCCAGCACCCTCCTCGAGTTTTATACCCTACCCCGGGCAATTTTGTAAGTAGGTACCCTGCCCCGAAAGGCCTCCGCTTGCGCCCCCGGAAAACACGGAAACACGGACACCGGGAAACACGGACACCGGGAAACACGGACACCGGGAAACACGGAAACCGGGAAACACGGAAACCGGGAAACACGGAAACCGGGAAACACGGAAACCGGGAAACACGGAAACCGGGAAACACGGAAGCCGGGAAACACGGAAACCGGGAAACACGGAAACCGGGCAACACGGTCGCGCTCGACGTACCCCGCCAGGCCACCCGTTGCGTAGTAAGTCCGCGCGGTATTGCCCGCGCCGTGGGGTTGGTCCATCCGCCTCAGTGTTTTGCGGGTGTGGTCCATCCACCTCAGTGCTTTGTGCGTGTGGTCCATCCGCCTCAGTGTTTTGCGCGTGTGGTCCATCCGCCTCAGTAAAGGGAGTATCGCCCTCAAGCTCCTCCACAAGAAAGTCCAAAGCAAACAAGATCCCGCCCCCGTGTTGCACGCGTGTGGCCCATCCACCCCAGTGCTTTGCGCGTGAGATCCATCCGCCCCAATGTTTTGCGCCTGTGGTCCATCCGGGAAACACGGAAACCGGGAAACGGGCAACACGATCGCGCTCGACCTAGCTACCCCGCCAGGACGCCCATCGGTTGCTTATCAAGTCCGCGCGGTATTGCCCGCGCCGTGGGGGTGGTCCATCCGCCTTAGTGTTTTGCG